ATATTTAGCAAACTAGACCGCACAATTTTCGTGTTTTTTATTTAATTTACGGATAGCCAGGGGCACACTCCAACACTCAGACATCATTTACAAACATTTGTGTACTTTTGGTTGTCAGGGAAAATGTATGGAGTAAAAAGTACATTATTTTCTTTAAGAATGTAGTGAAATAAAAGTAAAAGTTGCCAAAAATATAAATAGTAAAGTAATGTACAGATACCCAAAAAAACTACTTAAGTTGGGCTCTTCACAACAACGCAGACACATTTTTTTTTTGTTGAAATAGTACAAACATAGAAAAATTATAACACAAGAAATAAATACACAATGAGTAACAATAACTTGGCTACATACACAGGGTATCAGTACCGAGTTGGTGTGCAGGGGTATGAGGTAATTGAGGTAGAAATGTACATATAGGGAGGGATAAAGTGACTTGGCAACGGGATAGATAAACAGTAACAGCAGCGTATGTGATGTGTGAAAAGAGTTAGTGCAAAAAGGTTCAATTCAGATATTCCGGATAGCTATTGGTTAAAGCTGCAATATGTAACTTTTTGGGCGACCCAACCAAATTCTAAGAAGCTGTAGATCTACTCTATGTGCACTATTTCTATGCTTCCCATTTTTAAGTTCAGTTTTTGAGTCTTTTACTTTCGGTTTTGTACACCAGCTTCAAACAGCTGAAAATACAATATTTTGGGGTATGGAAAATATATTCCACAGCGGTTTAGATGGTACAATGATTCTCTATACTATACTTGCTTGTTTTGTCACATAAACTGAAATTAGGCGAACTATTAGAATATTAGCAACCAGGAAATGGGGGAGCGATTTCTGCATAGTGCATCTTTAACTATTTAACAAACTATTTAGCTGTCTTATAGCTTGGAGGTAGAAGCTGTTCAGCGTCCTGTTTGTCAAGACTTGGTGCATTGGTACCACTTACCGTGCGGTAGCAGAGAGAACAGTCTATGACTTGGGTGGCTGGAGTCTTTGACAATTTTTAGGGCCGTCCTCTGACACCGCCTGGTATAGAGGTCCTGGATGGCAGGGAGCTCACCCCAGTGATGTACTGGGCCGTACGCATTACCCTTTGTAGTGCCTTGCGGTCGGATGCCAAGCAGTTTGACATACCAAGCAGTGATGCAGCCAGTCAAGATGCTCTCAATGGTGCAGCTGTAGAACTTTTTGAGGATCTGAGGGCCCATGACAAATCTTTTCAGCCTCCTGAGGGGGAAAGGCATTGTCGTGCCCTCTTCACGACTGTGTTGATGTGTGTGGACCATGATAGTTCCTTAGTGTTGTGGACACTGAGGAACTTGAAGCTCTCGACCTGCTCCACAACAGCCCTGTCGATGTGGATGGGGGCGTGCTGGGACCTCCATTTCCTGTAGTCAACGATCAGCTCCTTTGTCTTGCTGATGTTGAGGGAGAGGTTGTTGTCCTGACACCACACTGCCAGGTGTCTGACCTCCTTCCTGTAGGCTGTCACATCATCGTCGGTGATCAGGCCTACCACTGTCATGTCGTCTGCAAACTTAATGATGGTGTTGGAGTCCACGCAGTCATGGGTGAATAGGGAGTGCTGGAGGGGACTAAGCACACACCCCTGAGGGGTCTCCGTGTTGAGGGTCAGTGTGGCGTCCGGATTAGTGTCCCGCTCCTTGAAAGTGGCAGCTCTAGCCATTAGCTCAGTGCGAATGCTTCCTGTTATCCATGGCTTCTGGTTGGGATATGTATGTACAGTCATTGTGGTGACAACATCGTAGACACACTTATTAATGAAGCCAGTGACTGGTAAACTCCTCAATGCCATCGGATGAATCCAATAACATATTCTAGTTTGTGCTAGCGAAACAGTCCTGTAGTTTAGCATCCGCTTCATCTGACTACTTTCATATTGAACTTGTCACAGGTACTTTCTGTTTGAGTTTTTGCTTGTAAGCAGGAATCAAGAGGATAGAGTTATGGTCAGAGATGTCAAATGGAGGGCGAGGACGAGCTTTGTATGCGTCTGTATGTGTGGAGTATCGTGATCTAGAGTTTTTTCGCCTCTATTTGCACAGGTGACATGCTGGTAGAAATTTGATAAAACTGATTTAAGTTTTCCTGCATTAAAATCACCGGCCACTAGGAGCGCTGCATCTGGATGAGCATTTTCCTGTTTGCTTATGGCCCTATACAGCTCGTTGAGTGCGGTCTTAGTGCCAGCATCGGTTTGTGGTGGTAAATAGACCGCTATGAAAAATATAGATGAAAACCATCTTGGCAAATAGTGTGGTGTACAGTTTATCATGGGGTATTCTAACTCAGGCAAGCAGAACCTTAAGACTTCTTTCATGTTAGAGATTGTGCACCAGTTGTTAACAAAGAGACTCTGAGCTTCCCCGACGCAGCCGTTCTGTCGTGCAGAAGAAAACAAATGTATAGAAAAAGCAGCTAGATTTACAGTTGAGGTCGGAAGTTTACATACACTTAGGTTGGAGTCATTAAAACTTGTTTTTCAACCACTCCACAAATGTCTTGTTAACAAACTATAGTTTTGGCAAGTCGGTTAGGACATCTACTTTGTGCATGACACAAGTAATTTTTCCAACAATTGTTTACAGACAAATTATTTCACTTATAATTCACTGTATCACAATTCCAGTGGGTCAGAAGTTTCCATACACTATGTTGACTGTGCCTTTAAACAGCTTGGAAAATTCCACAAAATGATGTCATGGCTTTAGAAGCTTCTGATAGGCTAATTGACATCATTTGAGTCAATTGGAGGTGTACCTGTGGATGTATTTCAAGGCCTACCTTCAATCTCAGTGCCTCTTTGCTTGACATCATGGGAAAATCAAAAGAAATCAGCCAAGACCTCAGAAAAAAATTGTAGACCTCCACAAGTCTGGTTCATCCTTGGGAGACAATAGTACGCAAGTATAAACACCATGGGACCAAGCAGCCGTCATACCGCTCAGGAAGGAGACGCGTTCTGTCTCCTAGAGATGAACATACTTTGGTGCGAAAAGTGAAAATCAATCCCAGAACAACAGCAAAGGACCTTGTGAAGATGCTGGAGGAAACAGGTACAAAAGTATCTATATCCACAGTAAAACGAGTCCTATATCGACATAACCTGAAAGGCCGCTCAGCAAGGAAGAAGCCACTGCTCCAAAACCACCATAAAAAAGCCAGACTACGGTTTGCAACTGCACACGGGGACAAAGATCGTACTTTTTGGAGAAATGTCCTCTGGTCTGATGAAACAAACATAGAACTGTTTGGCCATAATGACCATCGTTATGTTTGGAGGAAAAAGGGGTTTCTTGCAAGCCGAAGAACACCATCCCAATCGTGAAGCATGGGGGTGGCAGCATCATGCTGTGGGGGTGCTTTGCTGCAGGAGGGACTGGTGCACTTCACAAAATAGATGACATCATGAGGAAGGAAAATTATGTGGATATATTGAAGCAACATCTCAAGACATCAGTCAGGAAGTTAAAGTTTGGTCGCAAATGGGTCTTCCAAATGGACAATGACCCCAAGCATACTTCCAAAGTTGTGGCAAAATGGCGTAAGGACAACAAAGTCAAGGTATTGGAGTGGCCATCACAAAGCCCTGACCTCAATCCAATAGAACATTTGTGGGCAGAACTGAAAAAGCGTGTGCGAGCAAGGAGGCCTACAAACCTGACTCAGCTACACCAGCTCTGTCAGGAGGAATGGGCCAAAATTCACCCAACTTATTGCGGGAAGCTTGTGGAAGGCTACCCAAAACGTTTGACCCAAGTTAAACAATTTAAAGGCAACGCTACCAAATACTAATTGAGTGTATGTAAACTTCTGGCCCACTGGGAATGTGATGAAAGAAATAAAAGCTGAAATAAATCATTCTCTCTACTATTATTCTGACATTTCACATTCTTAAAATAAAGTGGTGATCCTAACTGACCTAAAACTGGGAATTTTTACTAGGATTAAATGTCAGGAATTGTGAAAAACTGAGTTTAAATGTATTTGGCTAAGGTTTGTTTGTTTGTTTTAGTCATTTAGTATGTAAACTTCCAACTGTATATTTACATTACATTTGAGTCATTTAGCAGACGATCTTATCCAGAACGACTTACAGGAGCAATTAGGGTTAAGTGCCTTGCTCAAGGGCACATCGACAGATTTTTCACCTAGTCGGCTCGGGGATTAGAACCAGCGACCTTTCGGTTACTGGCACAACGCTCTTAACCACTAAACTACCTGCCATGTCCTTGTTCAGCCACGACTCGGCGAAACATAGGATATTACAGGATAATACATTACGACAATGTATTTGTAGAGTGATGTATCATATTAATCGATCATGTATTATGTTCATAGTAATGATTGGAATTGAAAAGTATGTCAATTGTGGCAACACTCAGTTTGTTTTACAATGTGTTAATGTCTTATGCCACCTACTGGTCTTATACTGGTCTTAAAGTCTTATGCCACCTACTGTTAAATCGTAGACATGTAGGTATAATTCTAAAAAGTAATAGCCTTTTACCTACAGCAGAGGGAAGCAGAGTACTGAGAAACAGCAACAATCCGGCAAATGTATATGTTACTGTGAAAAAACAGAGGATAGTTTAGTTCAATCAAATGGTGCATGTACAGATTCAACAACATGTTCGAAAATGTAAAGATTATTTGGGACAAATACTATGTACTTAGTTCTAGTTTAACCGGATATTATTATTTTCTGTGCCTTGTTCTGCACTAGTGTTGAGGGAGGGTCCCGATTATGCCTATGCGTGTGAGTGCCCGATCGCACTAACAGGAGCGCGCACGTGGCTGTCAGCAGTAGGAAACAGACGACTGGTGCTAAATGTGTACCAGCAACACGACCAAACTGATTTGAAAGGACAGTTTTGGGAGAAAGGAAGACCATTTGGTCGTAAAATGATATAATTTTGTAAGATTTAAACTCGCTGCAGTTATGTCATAGAGTAACCCAGACAGCCAGCCAGGCTAACACCCGCCTAACATCATTAGCCAGCAAGCTAGGCTAACTAACGTTAGCTAGCTAGTTTTGGGGGCCATTGCGCCTCCTAATTTGTTCAGCCGTTATCTGTTTTCCTTTTGTTGCCTGGACTGTCCAGCTTCTCATTGTCGTGTTTTCATTGAACGGAGGAGCTTAGGGGACCGGAGCTGTGGGGGGCCCGCGGACAAACCCCCTGGGCGTCCAGGCGGACGGAACACGTAGACACACGGGCCGTGGGTGAGTTTACACTGAGCGAGTTTATAGCGAGGGAAGCGGATGGGCAAGGCCGTGGACCCATGGTCAGGCAGGGCCCCGACAACAGGGAGGGGAGTGGACCATTAGTTAAATAGCTAACTATGATGCCTGTTAGGCAACTAAATAATTTTCCTATGTGTTGAATCGTGAAGTTGTGTGGCTTTGAATGAGGCCTCGAGAGGATATGAAAACACAATCGTTCGTTTTTAGGTAGCTAGCTAGGTAGTTAGCGTGTTGGCTAACGCGAGTTAGTAAACCAACCTGCTTAACGTTAGATTAGCGAAATATAACTATAATGTTGTCCGAAATCTTGGTACAAGAAATAAGGTACTGTATCGGTGGTTGCTAGCGAATGTAATTTTGGCTGACTTTGTTGTATGCACTTGATAGTGTTTATGTGGCCACACCTGAGTTGATCGTTGGGGCCAGGCAGTCTTTTGACTGAATGTGTTCTACAATGCATTTGAATTGTAGGCATGTCATTGTCAACATCTAGCTCTGTAGATTGTTAGTGGATTTTGAGTGTTCGGTGACACTGGATAGATATTGGGCAGAAATGGACAGTGGGTTTGGGTGGAGTAAATAACACAGGTCAAATCATCATATTCAAAAACATTAAGTGAAACCTCAGATAGACATGCATCATTCTACTTACAACTGTATTTTTACTGTATTGTGGAGATAGTGCTTGTTGAAAATACCCCAATGGGCAATAATTGGAAAAATCCATCTCCATTAACTAAATATCATAAAGAAGACATAGAGTAGGAGCTAGGTGTGTAATGAATGGCCAATGTCCTGCTTCAGATATAGGGAACTGTGTTTGTTTATTTTTAGCTGGTTTTCATGGTCTGTTATTAGAATCTTCCCCACTGTTCAAAACTACAATTCCCCCAGTATATTAGCCAATAAAGCTTTGGGCATTAGCCTATCTCTCAAAGAATGTCCATGATTTCAAAATATACAGCCAACTTCTTCATTTATAATTCTGTGGCAGCAATAACTTTTTTGTTGTTGTTGTGAAAAACTTGTCTGAAAAGGGTGGGGCTGGGACTGATGGTCTCAATATTATTTATTATCATCAGTCCATGATAATTTACTCTAATACACTATGGAAATGTGGAAAGGTTGTTTCCCAATTTAACAGCCATCCATGTGATCATGAATATGAGTTCTGTGGATAACTTTGTGGTTTTTCATAAAACCTTTCTGGCTTCTCTCTTTCCATCTGTCAAGGAGTAAATAAGGAGGAGCCATGGCCGAAATCTCCGCCCTAATCCCATCACCTCCAGCTATAGGTGACACACATGCTGCCCCCTCCTTCCCCATACCCTCTACTGCCCCCCCTCCTCCCAGCAGCACCGCCCCAGAGCCCCCTAAGGAGAGCCCCATCCCCAAGTCCTCTCTGTACGGTGACAAAGCTTCTCTGACATTAACTGTACCAGGAGAGACGCTCCCTTCTCACCCGTCTCCCAAGAGAGGGGGGAGAGGACCTCCCCCGAGTCCCCCCAAACGCGTCTCATCAGCGTTAACTCCAGAGACTCCAGTGCCCCCACCTCTAATACCCCCAGAGAGCCCTGCTCCCCTGCCTGAAGTTACTTCAGACAGTCCTGCCCCCTTACCTGTAGTAGCCCTAGATACTCCTGCCATCCCACCTGTAGATGTAGCATTGCGGCAGAGTGAGGGAATGAAGGAGACAGACATGGCGGCAGGGGCCAGCCCAGTGTTGGCTGTAAAGCAGGAAGTGAGTAACCCAGGGGGCAAGGAGCTGTTAAATGCCCCCTCAGAGGGCCCTGCACAGGCCCACAGTGAGCAAGAGGTACAGGGGGTAACACAGCAGACTACCAGCCACTTCTCTGATCTTAATCTCCCACCTAATCTCTACCCCAGAGTTCATGTCACTGTGAACACTAATCCTGCTACTGATTATGCTCAGCCTCAGTCTATAGTGGACACTCCCCCTCCTCCTCCTGCCCCCACTTACACTCCCCCTCCTCCAGACTCCACCCAAACAGCAGCAGCTGCAGCCCCTGAAGCACAAAATCCTCAGCCACCAGAAGAAAGCCATAACCCTCACCCTAACCCTCAACCCCCTCCCAAACTGGACACCCCCAGCCTGTCTCCCATACCTGAGACCTCCAGCCAATCTCCCAGAAGGGCAGAGCTACCCAGCACCCCCTCCAGAGCAGGGCACCCCAGTCCTCCAGTGATCCAGGAGCCTGTCTCCCTCTCCCTGCCCTACCCCAGAGCCCCAGCTCCAGACACCCTCAGCTACCTGGAGTCAGCCAGCATGATGTCAGGGACCCTGGAGTCTCTGTCTGGCCTGGGGGAGGATGGAAGCTCTATCGGGTCCGACTCCGAGATCAACGGCCTGGCTGTCAGACGCACTGACAAATATGGCTTCCTCGGCGGGACCCAGTACAGCGAGGGCAGGTGGGCATGGTAAAACAAAAACACACCCTCACTCTATGCACACACAGATGTAAAATACATGTCTATTGTGTCTTCACTCTGGCTGTAGATGGCAATTACTCTGGTTTGTTCTGTCTCTTTTAATCAAATCAGTTTTTATTTCTCACATGAGCCGAATACAACAGGTGTAGACTTTACCGTGAAATGCTTACTTTCTAGCCCTTAACCAACAATGCAGAGTAAAAAAAAAAAAAAGTAAGAAACATTTGCTAAATAAACTAAAGGAAAAATAGTAACACAATAAAATAACTATAATGAGGCTATATACAAGGGGTACCGGTACCAAGTCAATGTGCAGGGGTACGAGGTAGTTGAGGTAATTGAGGGAATACAGTGGGGAAAAAGTATTTAGTCAGCCACCAATTGTGCAAGTTCTCCCACTTAAAAAGATGAGGCCTGTAATTTTCATCATAGGTACACGTCAACCATGACAGACAAAATGAGAAGAAAAAATCCAGAAAATCACATTGTAGGATTTTTAATTAATTTATTTGCAAATTATGGTGGAAAATAAGTATTTGGTCAATAACAAAAGTTTCTCAATACTTTGTTATATACCCTTTGTTGGCAATGACACAGGTCAAACGTTTTCTGTAAGTCTTCACAAGGTTTTCACACACTGTTGCTGGTATTTTGGCCCATTCCTCCATGCAGCTCTCCTCTAGAGCAGTGATGTTTTGGGGCTGTCGCTGGGCAACAGACTTTCAACTCCCTCCAAAGATTTTCTATGGGGTTGAGATCTGGAGACTGGCTAGGCCACTCCAGGACCTTGAAATGCTTCTTACGAAGCCACTCCTTCGTTGCCCGGGCGGTGTGTTTGGGATCATTGTCATGCTGAAAGACCCAGCCACGTTTCATCTTCAATGCCCTTGCTGATGGAAGGAGGTTTTCACTCAAAATCTCACGATACATGGCCCCATTCATTCTTTCCTTTACACGGATCAGTCGTCCTGGTCCCTTTGCAGAAAAACAGCCCCAAAGCATGATGTTTCCACCCCCATGCTTCACAGTAGGTATGGTGTTCTTTGGATGCAACTCAGCATTCTTTGTCCTCCAAACACGACGAGTTGAGTTTATACCAAAAAGTTCTATTTTGGTTTAATCTGATCATATGACATTCTCCCAATCCTCTTCTGGATCATCCAAATGCACTCTAGCAAACTTCAGACGGACCTGGACATGTACTGGCTTAAGCAGGGGGACACGTCTGGCACTGCAGGATTTGAGTCCCTGGCGGCGTAGTGTGTTACTGATGGTAGGCTTTGTTACTTTGGTCCCAGCTCTCTGCAGGTCATTCACTAGGTCCCCCCGTGTGGTTCTGGGATTTTTGCTCACCGTTCTTGTGATCATTTTGACCCCACGGGGTGAGATCTTGCGAGATTACCAGATCGAGGGAGATTATCAGTGGTCTTGTATGTCTTCCATTTCCTAATAATTGCTCCCACAGTTGATTTCTTCAAACCAAGCTGCTTACCTATTGCAGATTCAGTCTTCCCAGCCTGGTGCAGGTCCACAATTTTGTTTCTGGTGTCCTTTGACAGCTCTTTGGTCTTGGCCATAGTGGAGTTTGGAGTGTGACTGTTTGAGGTTGTGGACAGGTGTCTTTTTTACTGATAACAAGTTCAAACAGGTGCCATTAATACAGGTAACGAGTGGAGGACAGAGGAGCCTCTTAAAGAGGAAGTTACAGGTCTGTGAGAGCCAGAAATCTTGCTTGTTTGTAGGTGACCAAATACTTATTTTCCACCATAATTTGCAAGTAAATTAATTAAAAATCCTACAATTTGATTTTCTGGATTTTTTTTTCTCATTTTGTCTGTCATAGTTGACGTGTACCTATGATGAAAATTACAGGCCTCTCTCATCTTTTTAAGTGGGAGAACTTGCACAATTGGTGGCTGACTAAATACTTTTTTCCCCCACTGTATGTACATGTAGGTAGGGGTAAAGTGACTATGCATAGATAATAAACAGAGAGTAGCAGCAGCATATGTGTGTGTGTGGCGTAAATATGCGTGTGTGTGTTGGAGTGTCAGTGTAATATGTGAGAGTGTGTGGTTAGAGTCCAGTGAGTGTACATCGAGCCTGTGCAAGAGAGTCAGTGCAAAAAAGTATCATTAAAAAAAGGGGGTCAATGCAAATAGTCCGGGTAGCCATTTGATTAACTGTTCAGCAGTCTTATGGCTTGGGGGTAGAAGCTGTTAAGAAGCCTTTTGGTCCCAGACTTGGCGCTCCGATACCGCTTGCCGTGCCGTAGCAGAGAGAAGTCTATTACTTAGGTGGCTGGAGTCTTTGAAAATCAACCGTCTTTCCTGGCTTGGTCATCTTCTCCGAGTCACCCAGCTTGCCCTAAGTGATCTCTCCCTCCCCACCCTTTCTGTCCAGTCCTCCCTATCTCCACTCTAAATGTATCGGTCTGTCCTTCATCTCTTCTTAGTGTGACTCAGATAGATAGTGCTGAGAGTGCTTTTGTGACACAATATGTACTGACTGTGCCTCGCCCAGCCACCCATTTCCCTCTCTCCTTCTAGAGAACGTATCTTGCCCCTACCCTTGGACCGTCTCTCTAAGTGCACTTCCTCTTCTGTTTTATGTTTTATTGATTTAGTTTGGTATTGATTAAGCCTGTTCCCCTTCAGTGTCATTATCAAAGGGTGTCTGTGTGTGAGAGAGTAGTGTAGGACAGAAATATTGTAAATATAATATAAATCTGTAGATGAGTATTCCTATTAAAGAAGCTCAGGTCGCACAGTTTCCATTTAAAATAACTCTTGCTCCTATTTGGAATCTACTGAATGAACATGACCCTGCCAGTCTTAGGATATCCATATTTAGATAACCGTTTTTTTCTGGATAAAAAAATGTGCTTACGACTTCTCCATGGTGCTGAGAGACATTTTTGCTGTTTTAAAGCGAATTCCCTGAAATTCTGCACATTTTGCCATTGAGTGGAGAGAAAATGTTGCAGTTTTAAAGCTGATTTCCTGCTAATCATTCTACATATTCTGCCATGGAGCTGAGATATAGCTAATTTCCTGCAAATATATGCAATTTGCCATTGCTAATGCTGTGTTCTTTTGCTCAAACGTAACAACAACATTTATTGTTTTTGAAATAGTTTTAGTGTTTATTTTGGTGATGTTAGTTCTCACAGATTATATGATTTAAAAAAAATATAGGTCCATTATCTTTTCTACATACTTTGTAGCAGTATTGTTAGAGAGGGGTAAAGATAAAGATGTTGTTCTGCGCCAGGCAGGTAGTAACCCTGCCAAAAGGAAAAGCGTAGGATAGATAGAGTACTGCTTCCAGACACACACACATCAGCAGAAGAGACTGTCTAGAGTGTAGCCTGTTTGCCAGATAGCCAGTGGAGAGAGAAAAGATAAGACCCACCATATAAAACACGTCACAGCACAGGGGTAACCCAACCAATAATACCTCATACATTAATAATGGCAGGGCGATTTAAAGGCAACTTCATAGAAACAATTGACAAGAAAGAACCAAGTCATCAACATTAGAGGATTTGCAATATTCTGTATTACCTCCCAGTGGAGAAGTGGGGGGGGGATGAATGTGTGTGTGTTCATAGACAATACAAAGAAGGCCTTAAAATGTCCAAAATCTTCTCTGCCAAATGTAAATAGTCCCACACAAAATTAATACAGTTCAATAAACAATAACTCACGCAAACTCCCTTTCACTAAAATGTCACACCAAATACGACTGGCAGGGGACTAATAGTCCAACGACACTGAACATCAAAAGGAGCGCATAGGGAAAAAAGAAAGTCTGCTGCAGTGAAAAGCACTGGAGCGATAGAGGGGGGTCTTAGCTGTTGACTTCAGGCTTGCAGTTGCACTGTCTGTCCATCTGATACACCTGTTGGTTTGTTTTTCAAAGATTTGCAACAATGTTGCTACTACTCCATGCAAACAATGACAGGAGCGGTCCCAAAAGATTACAACCACGACCTAGAGCAGTAACACCGGCGATTGACTTAAACACTTTACAACTAAGCACGCTGAAAATTAACAAGACTTCTGCAGAGTTGCACACACTGTCAAACTGCCGCGCCAACCGAGAGCTCTCCACAGAGCGCTGGAAGAGCTGTCTTTATTTCCTCCCTCCTGACTGCTGATGCGCTCTTAAAGTGCACGGTGAAGGCTCCGTGCAGGATTTTGCCCCCCATGAAAAAACTCAGCCAAAATAAATGCTTCACAGAGTTCAAGTCACAGACACATCTCAACGTCAACTGTTCAGAGGGGACTGTGTGAAGCAGGCCTTCATGGTCGAATTGCTGCAAAGAAACCACTACTAAAGGACACCAATAAGAAGAAGAGACCTGCTTGGGCCAAGAAACATGAGCAATGGACATTAGACCGGTGGAAATGTGTGTCTTTGTGAGACGCGGTGTGGGTGAACGGATGATCTCTGCATGTGTATTTCCCACTGTAAAGCATGGAGGAGGTGGTGATGGAGGCTGTTTGTAAGGGCTATTTGACCAAGAAGGAGAGTGATGGAGTGCTGCATCAGATGACCTGGCCTCCACAATCCCCCGACCTCAACCCAATTGAGATGGTTTGGGGTGAGTCGGATGGCAGAGTGAAGGAAAAGCAGCCAACAAGTGCTAAGCATATGTGGGAACTCCTTCAAGACTGTTGGAAAAGCATTCCAGGTGAAGCTGGTTGAGAGAATGCCAAGAGTGTGCAATGCTGTCATCAAGGCAAAGGGCGGCTATTTGAAGAATCTCAAATATAAAATAGACTTTGATTTGTTTAACACTTTTTGGGTTACTACATGATTCCAAATGTGTTAATTCATAGTTTTGATGTCTTCACTATTATTCTACAATGTAAAAAATAAATGCTATGAAGCCCCTAAATAAGATCTGGTGCAACCAATTACCTTCAAAGTCACATAATTAGTTAAATAAAGTCCACCTGTGTGAAATCTAAGTGTCACATGATCTGTCACATGATCTCAGTATATATACACACCTGTTCTGAAAGGCCCCAGAGCCTGCAACACCACTAAGCAAGGGACACCACCAAGCAAGCATCACCATGAAGACCAAGGAGCTCTCCAAACACTTCAGGGACAAAGTTGTGGAGAAGTACAGATCAGGGTTCGGTTATAATTTTTTTTATCAGAAACTTTGAACATCCTACAAAGCACCATTAAATCCATTATTAAAAAATGGAAAGAATAATGCACCACAACAAACCTGCCAAGAGAGGGCCGCCCACCAAAACTCACGGACCAGGCAAGGAGGGCATTACTCAAAGAGGCAACAAAGACACCAAAGATAACCCTGAAGGAGCTGCAAAGCTCCACAGCGGAGATTGGAGTATCTGTCCGTAGGACCACTTTAAGCCGTACACTCCACAGAGCTGGGCTTTACGGAAGAGTGGCCAGAAAAAAGCCGTTGCTTAAAGAAAAAAATAAGCAAAGATGTTTGGTGTTCGCCAAAAGGCATGTGGGAGACTCCCCAAACATATGGAAGAAGGTACTCTGGTCAGATGAGACTAAAATTTAGCTTTTTGGGGGGGATTAATTATGCATGCTCAAGTTCTGTTTTTTTGTCTTATTTCTTGTTTGTTTCACAATAAAAAATATTTTGTGTCTTCAAAGTGGTAGGCATGTTGTGTAAATCAAATGATACAAACCCCCCAAAAATTATTTTTAATTCCAGGTTGTAAGGCAACAAAATAGGAAAAATGCCAAGGGGGTTGAATACTTTTACAAGCCACTGTGTGTGTGTATATATATATATATATATATCTCAGTTGAAGTCGGAAGTTTACATACACTTAGGTTGGAGTCATTAAAACTCGTTTTTCAACCACTCCACAAATTTCTTGTTAACAAACTATAGTTTTGGCAAGTCGGTTAGTACATCTATTTTGGGCATGACACAAGTCATTTTTCCAACAATTGTCTACAGACAGATTATTTCACCTATAATTCACTCTATCACAATTCAAGTGGGTCAGAAGTTTACATACACTAAGTTGACTGTGCCTTTAAACAGCTTGGAAAATTCCTGAAAATGATGTCATGGCTTTAGAAGCTTCTGATAGGCTAATTGACATCATTTAAGTCAATTGGAGGTGTACCTGTGGATGTATTTCAAGGCATACCTTCAAAGTCAGTGCCTCTTTGCGTGACATCATGGGAAAATCAAAAGAAATCAGCCAAGACCTCAGATAGAACAATTGTAGACCTCCACAAGTCTGGTTCATCCTTGGGAGCAATTTCCAAACACCTGAAGGTACCACGTTCATCTGTACAAACAATAGTACGCAAGTATAAACACCATGATGGGACCATGCAGTCGTCATACTGCTCAGGAAGGAGACGCGTTCTGTCTCCTAGAGATGAACGTACTTTGGTGCAAAAAGTGCAAATCAATCCCAGAACAACAACAAAGGATCTTGTGAAGATGCTGGAGGAAACAGGTACAAAAGTATCTACAGTGGGGAGAACAAGTATTTGATACACTGCCGATTTTGCAGGTTTTCCTACTTACAAAGCATGTAGAGGTCTGTAATTTTTATCATAGGTACACTTCAACTGTGAGAGACGGAATCTAAAACAAAAATCCAGAAAATCACATTGTATGATTTTTAAGTTATTAATTTGCATTTTATTGCATGACATAAGTATTTGATACATCAGAAAAGCAGAACTTAATATTTGGTACAGAAACCTTTGTTTGCAATTACAGAGATCATACATTTCCTGTAGGTCTTGACCAGGTTTGCACACACTGCAGCAGGGATTTTGGCCCACTCCTCCATACAGACCTCCTCAAGATCCTTCAGGTTTCGGGGCTGTCGCTGGGCAATACAGACTTTCAGCTCCCTCCAAAGATTTTCTATTGGGGTCAGGTCTGGAGATTGGCTAGGCCACTCCAGGACCTTGAGATGCTTCTTACGGAGCCACTCCTTAGTTGCCCTGGCTGTGTGTTTCGGGTCGTTGTCATGCTGGAAGACCCAGCCACGACCCATCTTCAATGCTCTTACTGAGGGAAGGAGGTTGTTGGCCAAGATCTCGCGATACATGGCCCCATCCATCCTCCCCTCAATACGGTGCAGTCGTCCTGTCCCCTTTGCAGAAAAGCATCCCCAAAGAATGATGTTTCCACCTCCATGCATCACGGTTGGGATGGTGTTCTTGGGGTTGTACTCATCCTTCTTCTTCCTCCAAACACGGCGAGTGGAGTTTAGACCAAAAAGCTCTATTTTTGTCTCATCAGACCACATGACCTTCTCCCATTCCTCCTCTGGATCATCCAGATGGTCATTGGCAAACTTCAGACGGGCCTGGACATGCGCTGGCTTGAGCAGGGGGACCTTGCGTGCGCTGCAGGATTTTAATCCATGACGGCGTAGTGTGTTACTAATGGTTTTCTTTGAGACTGTGGTCCCAGCTCTCTTCAGGTCATTGACCAGGTCCTGCCATGTAGTTCTGGGCTGATCCCTCACCTTCCTCATGATCACTGATGCCCCACGAGGTGAGATCTTGCATGGAGCCCCAGACCGAGGGTGATTGACCGTCATCTTGAACTTCTTCCATTTTCTAATAATTGCGCCAACAGTTGTTGCCTTCTCACCAAGCTGCTTGCCTATTGTCCTGTAGCCCATCCCAGTCTTGTGGTCTACAATTTCATCACTGATGTCATAACACAGCTCTCTGGTCTTGGCCATTGTGGAGTGGTTGGAGTCTGTTTGATTGAGTGTGTGGACAGGTGTCTTTTATACAGGTAATGAGTGGAGAACAGGAGGGCTTCTTAAAGAAAAACTAACAGCTCTGTGAGAGCTGGAATTTTTACTGGTTGGTAGGTGATCAAATACTTATGTCAAGCAATAAAATGCAAATTAATAACTTAAAAATCATACAATGTGATTTTCTGGATTTTTGTTTTAGATTCCGTCTCTCACAGTTGAAGTGTACCTATGATAAAAATTACAGACCTCTACATGCATTGTAAGTAGCAAAACCTGCAAAATCGGCAGTGTATCAAATACTTGTTCTCCCCACTGTATATCCACAGTAAAAATGAGTCCTATATCGACATAACCTGAAAGGCCGCTCAGCAAGGAAGAAGCCACTGCTCAAAAACCGCCATTAAAAAAGCCAGACTACGGTTTGCAACTGCACATGGGGACAAAGATCGTACTTTTTGGAGAAATGTCCTCTGGTCTGATGAAACAAAAATAGAACTGTTTGGCCATAATGACCATCGTTATGTTTGGAGGAAAAAGGGGGTTGCTTGCAAGCCGAAGAACACCATCCCAACCGTGAAGCACGGGGGTGGCAGCATCATGCTGTGGGGGTGCTTTGCTGCAGGAGGGACTGGTGCACTTCACAAAATAGATGGCATTATGAGGAAGGAAAATGATGTGGATATATTGAAGCAAGAGCTCAAGACATCAGTCAGGAAGTTAAAGCTTGGTCGCAAATGGGTCTTCCAAATGGACAATGACCCCAAGCATACTTCCAAAATGGCTTAAGGACAACAAAGTAAAGGTATTGGAGTGGCCATCACAAAGCCCTGACCTCAATCCTATAGAGAATTTGTGGGCAGAACTGAAAAAGCATGTGCTAGCAAGGAGGCCTACAAACCTGACTCAGTTACACCAGCTGTGTCAGGAGGAATGGGCCAAAATTCACCCAACTTTTTGTGGGAAGCTTGTGGAAGGCTACCCGAAACGTTTGACCCAAGTTAAACAATTTAAAGGCAATGCTACCAAATACTAATTGAGTGTATGTAGTCTTCTGACCCACTGGGAATGTGATGAATGAAAGAAAAGCTGAAATAAATCATTCTCTCTACTATTATTCTGACATTTCACATTCTAAAAATAAAGTGGTGATCCTAACTGACCTAAAACAGGGACTTTTTACTAGGATTAAATGTCAGCAATTGTGAAAAACTGAGTTTAAATGTATTTGGCTAAGGTCTATGTAAACTTCCGACTTAAACTCTCTCTCTCTATATACAGTGAGGGGAAAAAAGTATTTGATCCCCTGCTGATTTTGTACGTTTTCCCACTGACAAAGAAATGATCAGTGTATAATTTTAATGGTAGGTTTATTTGAACAGTGAGAGACAGAATGACAACAAAAAAATCCAGAAAGACCATGTCAAAAATGTTATGAATTGATTTGCATTTTAATGAGGGAAACAAGTATTTGACCCTCTGCAAAACATGACTTAGTACTTGGTTGCAAAACCCTTGTTGGCAATCACAGAGGTCAGATGTTTCTTGTAGTTGGCCATCAGGTTTGTACACATCTCAGGAGGGATTTTGTCCCACTCCTCTTTGCAGATCTTCTCCAAGTCATTAAGGTTTCGAGGCTGACGTTTGGCAACTCGAACCTTCAGCTCCCTCCACAGATTTTCTATGGGATTAAGGTCTGGAGACTGGCTAGGCCACTCCAGGACCTTAATGTGCTTCTTCTTGAGCCACTCCTTTGTTGCCTTGGCTGTGTACTTTGGGTCATTGTCATGCTGGAATACCCATCCATGACCCATTTTCAATGCCCTGGTTGAGGGAAGGAGGTTCTCACCCAAGATTTGACTGTACATGGCCCCGTCCATCGTCCCTTTCATGCGGTGAAGTTGTCCTGTCCCCTTAGCAGAAAAACACCCCCAAAGCATTAAGTTTCCACCTCCATGTTTGACTGTGGGGATGGTGTTCTTAGGGTCATAGGCAGCATTCCTCCTCCTCCAAACATGGCGAGTTGAGTTGATGCCAAAGAGATCAATTTTGGTCTCATCTGACCACAACGCTTTCATCCAGTTCTCCTCTGAATCATTCAGATGTTCATTGGCAAACTTCAGACGGGCCTGTATATGTGCTTTCTTGAGCAGGGGGACCTTGCGGGCGCTGCAGGACTTCAGTCCTTCACGGCGTAGTGTGTTACCAATTGTTTTCTTGGTGACTATGGTCCCAGCTGCCTTGTGATCATTGACAAGATCCTCCCGTGTAGTTCTGGGCTGATTCCTCACCGTTCTCATGAGCATTGCAACTCCACGAGGTGAGATCTTGCATGGAGCCCCATGCCGAGGGAGATTGACAGTTATTTTGTGTTTCTTCCATTTGCGAATAATCGCACCAACTGTTGTCACCTTCTCACCAAGCTGCATGGTGATGGTCTTGTAGCCCATTCCAGCCTTGTGTAGGTCTACAATCTTGTCCCTGACATCCTTGGAGAGCTCTTTGGTCTTGGCCATGGTGGAGAGTTTGGAATCTGATTGATTGATTGGTTCTGTGGACAGGTGTCTTTTATACAGGTAACAAGCTGAGATTAGGAGCACTCCCTTTACGAGTGTGCTCCTAATCTCAGCTCGTTACCTGTATAAAAGACACCTGGGAGCCAGAAATCTTTCTGATTGAGAGGGGGTCAAATACTTATTTCCCTCATTAAAATGCAAAATCAATTTATGACATTTTTGATATGCGTTTTTCTGGAATTTTTTTGTTGTTATTCTGTCTCTCACTGTTCAAATAAACCTACCATTAAAATTATAGACTGATCATTTCTTTGTCAGTGGGCAAACGTACAAAATCAGCAGGGGATCAAATACTTTTTTCCCTCACTCAAAAAAATTAAGGGAACACTAAAATAACACCTCCTAGATCTGAATGAATGAAATAATCTTATTAAATACTTTTTTCTTTACATAGTTGAATGTGCTGACAACAAAATCACACAATAATTATCAATGGAAATCAAATTTATCAACCCATGGAGGTCTGGATTTGGAGTCACCCTCACAATTCAAGTGGAAAACCACACTACAGGCTGATCCAACTTTGATGTAATGTCCTTAAAACAAGTCAAAATGAGGCTCAGTAGTGTGTGGCCTCCACGTGCCTCCCTACAACGCCTGGGCATGCTCCTGATGAGGTGGCAGATGGTCTCCTGAGGGATCTCCTCCCAGACCTGGACTAAAGCATCCGCCAACTCCTGGACCGTCTGTGGTGCAACGTGGCGTTGGTGGATGGAGCGAGACATGATGTCCCAGATTTGCTCAATTGGATTCAGGGCTGGGGAACGGGCGGGCCAGTCCATAGCATCAATGCCTTCCTCTTGCAGGAACTGCTGACACACTCCAGCCAGTCAATACTTTGTAGAGCCACCTTTTGCAGCAATTATAGCTGCAAGTCTCCGCTGAAGGATTTCAATGGCTGAAAAATCCCTGGATAGCAATCAATATCATAATTACTAACTACCAATCATAAATAAAACAATCGTCGAAATAAGCCCTATAATAAATAAGGAAACCTTAAGTGTCTTACATGCCCAGCATAGTTGGCATGCGTGTGTGTCTTGGTGTTTATGTTGTTAACTCTTTCTCCATGTGTTACAGTGATAAGGACATCAGAGTTGATGTAGCACGGCAGAGAGAGATGAAATGGCTGGACATGTTCAACAATTGGGACAAATGGGTCTCAAGACGCTTCCAAAAGGTACTTACCTACATCTGTCTATGTATGGTATGAATGGTGTATCTGTGTATAAATGTGTATGTCATAACATAACAAGTGTGTGTGTTTGTTCCAGGTGAAGTTGCGCTGTAGGAAGGGGATCCCCTCCTCTCTCAGGGCTAAAGCCTGGCAGCTGCTCTCCAACAGCAAGGAGCTCCTGGACTCCAACCCCGGCAAGTTTGAGGTACTGCCGCTAACCCACACCCTTTCTCTCTTCATACTTTCACTATGCGAAACATGTCTATTGTGAAGCACACACTCAAAGACAAACTCTGTCTATGTACTCTTCACCCATTCAAATCTGAGGCCATCATTCCTACAACCTCTATTTACGGTCATTGTAGTCAAAATGTCATTGTAATCAAAATAACAGATTTGAATACAGAAGTTCTTCAGTGAACTCTAGGTAGTTCAAACTAACTGGAACAGAAGTTCATGCGATGGGAAGGAGCTGTGGCTCGTTAGACCAATTAGAGCTCCAGGGGTGTTTATTAGGGGGTGCAGAGACCTCCCCAGCTCTAAGCCTCTTATCCTGGGCAGTGTTCCAGCCTGGCTGGGGGTCTACCTTCACAGGCCTGGGGGTCTGGACAGATCATATCAGATAACCTTTTTTCCTTCCCTTTCTCTGCTTTCACTCTGACACAGACATGCTTTTTTAAAGGTCTAGTTATACTCAGTCCTGTTCCATATTATGCTGATCCATCTAGATATGTGCTTTACCATTGCTCATTTAGAAATGCTCTAAACTTGTATTTCTCTCTTAATCTCTAGGAGTTAGAGAGAGAGCAGGGAGACCCTAAATGGTTGGACATTATAGAGAAGGACCTGCATAGACAGTTCCCCTTCCATGAGATGTTTGCTGCTCGTGGTGGACACGGGTAACTGGCCATGCTGTATTGACGTATAATATCATTTGTTCAGTCCATGTAGAGTACACTGACATGTACAATAAAAACATACTTTATGAGTGCATGTGTGCTAACTCTCTGTTCTCTTCTGGTGCGGCCTCCAGGCAGCAGGATCTGTACCGGGTACTGAAGGCCTACACAGTGTACAGGCCTGAAGAGGGCTACTGCCAGGCCCAGGCCCCGGTGGCTGCTGTCCTGCTCATGCACATGCCTGCTGAGGTGAGGGGCTGCTGGGGGACACACAGAGAGAGGGAGGGGGACTGTGGAGGAGACTAGGAATGGGAACAATGTTTGAGAATTAATAAGTAGGGGGATGAGGCCAGGTGTTTATAATGTGGTATAATGTGTTTATTCCCAACTTGCAGCATGCCTTCTGGTGTCTGGTGCAGATATGTGAGACGTACCTGCCTGGTTACTATAGCGCTGGATTGGTGAGTAAATGAATAAACACACATTTGTTCTTTGGTGTACATTGAGACGACTCATCATTCTTTTAGGAAGCGATCCAGTTGGATGGAGAGATTTTCTTCTCTCTGCTACGTCGTGTCTGTCCCATGGCCTACCGTCACCTGAAGAAGTTTAAGATAGACCCCATTCTCTACATGACAGAGTGGTTCATGTGTGTCTTCTCACGCACCCTGCCATGGGCCAGTGTGCTACGTGTGTGGGACATGTTCTTCTGTGAGGGTAAGACACACTCACACACAAACACACAGTGCACTTGATGCTGTGGCTAACTATTAGCTAACTCTGGGTTGTTTTGTAGGAGTCAAGATAGTGTTCCGTGTGGGCCTCGTGCTGCTCAAGCAGATGCTTGGCTCGGTGGATAAACTGCGGGAGGTCCAGGGCATGTACGAAACCATGGAGCGCCTCAGGAACATCCCCCCTGAGTCTGTCAGAGAGGACCTACTGGTGCAGGAGGTGAGCCTGTAAACAGTGTGTGTACACAGACATACGCACACACATACACGTGTTCTCTAAACATACTCCTATTCTGACTCATTGACACGAGTCAAATGAGTCAACTGACGTTTCGCTGTCTGTAGTGTCTAGATCTGGTTTGATGACTTCCTCTGTCTGTCTCTGTGTAGGTGGTGTCCCTGGCGGTGACTGAGGCTCTGATCGAGAGGGAGTGCAGTAATCAGGTAAGGAAGTGGAGGGAGTCCAGGGGGGAACTAAGCCACCAGCCTGTCCGAAGGCTCCACGGGACGCGGGACATCCACGAGCACAAGCGTCGGGCCTCCGCCATCAGCTCCGGGGGAAGCTTCTCCTTCCTGGGGTCCATCCCCCCTCCAGGGCCCCTCAGGGCCTCCTCCAGCCTGCTCTCCCTCCCTGGCTTCCGCAAGTCCAAAACCCCCTTCCGCTCTCACAAGAAGGGCTCCTTCTCTGGGGCCTCTGGGATGGAGGCCATGCAGCTACAGAACCCCTCAGCTGCAGCTTCAAGCCCACCCCGAGGCCCCGCCCACAAACCACCCATGTCTGGTGGCTCTGTAGCTAGGGCCCCGGCCTCTCAGAGTCCTCTGGTTGGGTCTGGTCCAGGCCCCTCTTCTGGCACTGCCCAGACCTCAGCACAGAACCAGCCTGGTGCATCAGCCCCAGCCCCGGTACACCATACACCACCCAACACCCTCTCTCCCAAAGTCACCTCTGAGCAGATCACACCCACCATCCCCTCACCCACTGCCAACAACACCCCTCTGCCCCCATTCCCAGACGGAGGGAGAGGAGGAGGAGGAGGAGGTGGAGCAGTTACAGGAGGAGAGGAAGATAGGAAGAAGAAGAGGAGCAAGGAGGACAAGAAGAAAGAGAAGGAGGAGGAGAAGAGGAAAGAGAAGGAGAAGAAGGAGAAGGAAAAAGCAGACAAGGAGAGCCAGAAGAAGGAGAAGGAGAAGGAGCGGACCGAGAAAGAGAAGAAAAAGGAGAAAGGGGTGAAGAAAAAGGAGAAAGGGGGAGGAGAGGCGGAGGAGAAGAGTGGAGCCACAGCACCAAGAGATTGGGCCTAGTTTCTCCTGTTATTCCTTCAGAAAGAAAAGGGGGAAGGAAAAAAAGACCCCCAGAAGTGGGAGGAGTGAGAGAAAAGGAGATGCCTCCTGGTATAGTGCATCTTGAGGACTACATATAGTCAGGATTATTTTGGAGACAACTGGATCATGGTTTTATTAGCACCCTAGGGCTGTAGCCCCCCACCCCCCCCCTACAACCCCCATGCTTTCTTCATCAATGAGTTTGAATAAGTAAGATGGAACATGTTTCCTTTTGCAACTGGAGCATGGGCTGTGTGGTTCTCAATGGATCTCCCAAGATCACACAACTGTTTTCTCATTTAGTTTTTTTGAATTATTTTTTTATCAGACTAAAACTGATGGAGAGACAAGCCGTTGGACATAGAGTAGGTTGGAGTGATAGATTGTGTGTCAAAGATTGTGTAAATAGAATATCCTAAATCCATGTAGGATCCTTGAGTCGTGCCCAATAATGCCCTTACATGTCCTGTTTGTGTTCAGATGTCCATCTGGAATGCCTGCAGAAAAAAAGTAAACAATTGAAACATTTCTCAAACACAGGCACTGAAGACCGTGATTGATGGTAGTACTATGGTTATTGGATGTCTGGGAGGACCTATTTATTGTAGTGTTAAGTGTTGTGTGAGTGTGTGCCTTAGTAGTGTAGTGAGCTGTGTTACCGTTCATTATTGCCACCCAGTTTCTCTGCTCTTTCTCTCATGTCTTTATCTTCCTTCTTTTTGAGTTGCTTCTTTTCTCCCCCCTTTCTCTCATCTCTTGATCTCTAGTCCTCTGACCAGTGACAGAGGACTATAAACCTAACAGGTTAATGGAGAGCTGTACACTGCGATGGGGAGGGTTTGTAAGGAAAGGGAGAAATGAACATGACATTCTGAGCCTTGACAGACAGACATGCATGGATCAGAATGGCTCCTGCCTAACAACACAGGGAGGGATTTTTATTATAATTTATTTTCAAATTTAATTTTAGAATTGTATTTTCAAGTCTCTCTTGAGTATGTTTATAGTGGGAGGGTCCTTCTGCGTTCAATGACAACTCTGAATCGGCCCATCAGACCAAATGTCCATCAGATATTTTCTTTGCTTGTGAAAAATTAAATAATATATATTTTATTTAGCCAAATAATAATATGGGTGAGGCTTTCAGTAAATTAACCCATTGGAATGTGATGAATCTATTTAGAGTGGTTTCAGAAACTAAAGTTGACCACTCCCGTTTGGTAGGTAGTTGAATCTCATCTGGATAGTTCATAGAGAATGATAGACGCCTCTAGTGGCCAAAAGGCTGTTTTAGCATGGGCTTCCACCATTTTAATGTAGTCAACTGGATGGGACTTCCAACTTCATTGGCCGATCCCTCCTGGTGACCCTGTTGGAGTCGTGCAACCGGGTCATCGGGAGGGATCAGCCAATTTGCGAAGAAGAAAATTGACTACTTCAAAATGGAGATGGCCTCAATGGCTCTGTCACAGATGGCATAATGGCACAAATACAATGAGGCCTCTTTCCATCTCTATGGGATAGTTTCACCTCTTACTCCTGCGCCTTTAGGACCCATAGGAAGCCACTCGGTGCTGGGCGGGTCAGGCGTGCCAATGTAGCATTAACCTCTGAACTCTGACCTTCGGGCTCTGATGTATTTATGTACAAAGTTGGTTAATTTAATCAGATATTATGTATTCTTTATTTAGGATCTGACTGCTATTTTTCTATGCGAGTAAAGGACACCTGGTTGACTGGAAGGATGGCTGGCTATGTGAGGCCCAGTTTAAGGAGGATCATGTTAACTATTGTTTTTTTTAGATACTGGTATGGCTGTTTTGATTTCATTATTGCACATTTGTCCTCATCTTCGAAGACAACATCCTATGTATGTCATTCGTTATTTCAAGTTTACCTTGGTAGCTATGGGTAATGTTAGGCCCACAATTCTCCATTTACCTTATTACAGTATTAAACCTGACAGTGATTGAAGAACAGGGTAATGGCCATCAACCGATCAAATAAGAATCACATGAGTATTTCAGATTTGAAATAATCTGAGTGAGCCGTAGGTCATAAAGTACTGTATAAGATACTGGGAGGCATTTAGTCAACTCTGACAAGGTTTGTAATTGAAGATCTGAAGATGTCTGTCTTTGTCACTCCAGTATGTTGTAACCAACCACCATAATGATGTATTGATATTGACTAACTCCCTAACCCACTCACACATAGTGTTATGTAACGTATGTATTCATACTGTACATTAGATGTATAGTGCTGGTTAGTTACTGTAACGCCATTCCTTGGTGGAAACCATTGATTCTCTTAACACTGATTCTCTGTACTGTTTTTTCAGGGCAGGAGAAGAGGGTATTTAGTGTAATCATAGCCAAAATGTCCTTTGTGTTCACCATTTGTCTTTTTTCCCCAACTCATGTTATTTTTTTAAGCCCCTGCTTTCCCCCCTCTTCCCCCACATTTAGCTTCCAGTCGTCTCAGAATCAACTTTGGATCAGAGTAGAGTTGGTGAAGATGACCTGAACATGTCTATGCAAACCTTACTGTTCACAAAGCATGTTGTCAAACAGCAGCACGGACAAACAGCAATGCAGTAGTTTTCATGGCAATCATTAGAAGTTGGAGACCTGAGAATGCTACAGAACCAATCAGGATAGAGCAATATTTCTCCAAGCAGGTCCTGGCTTCATCCAATTGGGTAGGCTCCTTAAGGTCCTCAACTCTTTGTATTGAGGCATAAAGAGTCATGATAAAATCAACCTGTCATTGCTCCCTAATTTCATAATCTGGAATCAGAGTCCTCACTCCTGAAATAGCCAGGATGAGTCAACAGAGACACTTAGGTCCTGAGTGCATTTCTGCATTGGTCCTCAAATCCTTGCGCTTGATTGCTTTTAATCGGGAGCGTCCCACTGATTAGATTTTTTTTAAAGGTTGTTGCTTTTATGTTTTTCTATTTTGTCATGGTTTCTCTCCTACTGTATGTCTTTTGTTTTAAGTTTACATGGAACTGTTATTGGTGAAAAATAAAATCATAGATAATGAAATTCATTCCTTAACTGCAGAAGAAAATCTACACATGATGTATTTAATTATAATGATAATGACAGTTGTGATTAATAATAAACCATAATATATTAAAGAACCCTGCTCCGCTTTGCATTCTTGTTTCACATTGATATAGCCCTCATTCTCCCAGTGAGCTGTGCATACACATATTTCAGACAGTGTCTATGGTCCAGCAGGGGGCAGTAAAGGTGTATAATCTGGTATGTTCGCAGTTTTTACAAATTAGTCTAGTCTGCGGATAAGATTTTGGTGGTGTCTGAGGTGCACAGCACATGAAATGCACCCACACCGGCCCTGTTGTTTCTCAATCCCACTCTCCCAGAACCCACTCATGAACAGAAACACTAGTGTACAAAAGATAATAGCTTTTATTCACAGTTAGTCCCATTTATTCGTTACAGAGGAGTTTCTGACAGACTAAAGCTAGTCCAGGTGCAGAGAACAAGGGAGCTAATAGAAAACAAAGAGGTAGAAGTAAAGGAGGAAAGAGAGGGAAAGGAGGTGAAGACAAGTGTTTTCTTTGGGTCCTTTCTCTTCTCTCTTTAACAGCCTTTCTCACTTCTTGAGAAAAACGTAGCCGTCACTTTAAGGAGACCATGTTTTTCTCTAGCCTCATTCCTTCTTAGAATATCTCCTATTTTCCCACCTTATCTACAGTAGGTAACTTCTACAATATTTATAGAATGATATCCCTCTGTTTGGTTTATTTGCCCATCTGAGTGTTAAGGGGGAGTGAAAGGACTTCCAGGTCTAACCTCTGAGCTGTTGCAGCCGAGGCAAAGACTGGTGCTCCATTTCACCTTGGGGTTTACACATCCATACCACAGCAGTGGGATACAACTTGCTGTGTGCATTTCTTCTAACAGAGAGACTGGGGAAACAACCAACGATAGATAGGAGTAAGAGATGAAAAGGAGGAAGAGGGTTAAGGGAAGGGAAAGCGGATGAGAAAGAGATGGAGATGTTAAAAGATCATTTTTATTGAAAATAATCCGATATCCCCACGAACAAACATAGACAACCCATGAGCACCCACTCTCTCACACTAATGTCTTGAGTAGAGACGAGTCTTTTAGAGAATTTGTGTGAATGAGAGAGAGCACATGAGTACACATAAAGAGAAGGAAGGTAGGAGAGAATAACAGAGGAAGAAGAGCGGAGCAGGAAGGTAGCATGGCAAGGGAGGCTGTTTTCTTTTCTTCTATCTGTTTCATTACTCCTCCTCCTTTTCCTCTCCGTGTGTGATGACGTAGCAGATTTGCTTGTAGTCTACGTTGCCGGCCACATCTGGGGGAAAGGCGGCCCACAGGTTCTTCATCTGAGGTAAGGAGGGAAGAGGGGAGGAGAAGGGTGGTCAGCCACTCACCAAGTCAGGGGACAACGAGAGATCATGATTATAAATGTATTCACCTCCTCTGCAGAGAACCTGTCGCATTGAGTGGTCAGGAGCTCCTCAAGGCTAGAGAGAGAGGGAGACAAAGTCAGAAACATTCATGAAGCTGTGGATTCTGTTATGGAGTGCACTCATTACTACAACTGTAAAATAAGGAAGGAAATATTCTCACAATTCCTTCTTGATGAAACCGGTAGCCTCGGGGTCCAGGACCTTGAAAGCACTAACGATGACATCCTCGGGATCAGCACCTGAGACACACAGAGCGTCAGTCAGGCATGTTACACTGACAGCAAGACACATGCAATGTCCTCAGATATGGGAGTGTACTTAGAAAGCCACTAACACTTTAACTTAGAAAGCCACTATAACAAGTTAGACAGCGAGTCTAACAGAGTCAAACAAAGAAATGAGGAGATTGAGCAACAGATATAGAGCAGGTAAGTACAGTGAGTTATAGACCCACCCTTGAGCTTCTCTCCGAACATGGTGAGGAAGACGGTGAAGTTGATGGGGCCGCTGGCCTCCTTGACCATGGCTTCCAGCTCCTCATTCTTCACGTTCAACTGGCCTACAGAGCAGGGAGGGAGTGGAGGTTAGCTAGCACCATTATCTCTCTCTCTCTCACACACACACATACACACATATATATAGATATACAGTACATATAGGACTTTGTGGACATACCAAGGCACACTTTTAACAGAGACAAGTCAATCACATATTATGTCCTCTGAGAATCTTAAAAGGTCTTAAATTTGACCCTTGCTCACCCATTGAGGCCAGCACGTCCCTCAAGTCATCCTTGCTGATGATACCGTCTCTGTTCTGGTCAATGATTGTGAAAGCCTGAGAAGGCGGGAAGGAGGGAAGGAGGGAAGGAGGGAAGAAGAAGTGAGGAAGACAGAGAATGTCTGTCGTGACATGAACACCAGTCACCAGAGTCTGCCAAGTTGTCATCCCCAGTGTGACAGATGGAGGAGGAGGGGATTCAGTCCAGCCACAGATCACCCTGTGCGTAGTGGGACGTGAGTAGCATGTGCACTCCATACAATTTAGAGACACCTCTGTCAACTATGGTCATTTAAGGGCCAGGTGCTGCGTATTTATGGCACAATGCAATGTAACCCTTGTTAGGCGAGACCTAAAAAGAACAGAAGAAATTGAAAACCATTTTCTTACACGTTCATTTAGGGAGAGCTCATTAAGTTACACCTGTTAAATAAATCCTTCTTCCACTGTCCCAGCCTGTCTCTGGACCTCATCTCTTACTGTACGTCTATGAAACCCAAGATGACCCCTATGGTTGATCTTTAACTTAAAATAGCAGCTGCTAATCCATCTTCCTGACTCACACACATGCACACACACTCACCCCGCTCCCATCTCTCCATCTGTGCAAAGTGTTAAGACTGTCCCAATGATGTCAGACATTCCCCAAGTGACACTTAAGAAGTCCGTATCACTTACAGCAGCAAGAATTCCCTCCGTCAAGTCTGTGCTCATATCCCTTGACAACACTTTTGAAAACACACACACCATCATATACAATCTCCCACCTACTGCCAGATCCCTATTCCCTGACCTCATCCATCCTTCCATACACTCCTTCCATTTTTTACCCTCCATCTTTCATCTACATACCGTTGACCTCTCTCCCCTTCCTCTCCTCATAAACAGGTACACCAACCTGCCTTCCAAACTCTAGACCTTATCAGAAGCTCAAGAAGGACAAGGCTTTCCCCTCTATTATTGACCATATTGACCTCTCGTTTTGTCCCCCCGCCCCCTCTGTTCCCCCCTGTCCCCCCGCCCCCTCTGTCCCCACCTGTTCTCCCCCTGTTCCCCCTCCCCCTGTCCACCCCCAGTCCCCCCCGTTCTCCCCCGGCCCCCTGACTGCCCCTCCCCTCTCCTCTGTGTGCTGCGTGCCAGCCAGGGCCCAGTTGTCCTGCCATACTTAAACATGCAGCCCTCAGCAGCAGAGGACTTAAGATGAGAGGTTGAGTGACAGCTGAAGGCTCAGAGGAGGGGGAGGCCTGGAGAGCTTCAAAAGGTTACAGAAACTTCAGAGCTTCTCCTAATGACATTCTTTTCTTTATTAAGTTGGGAGAGAGGGGGGACAGAGAAAATAGCAACTGGACGGAAAATGTACCCATCAGAGAGCAGCCCCCTAAATCTAATTTGGGGTTCGCTCCATTAATGAAACAAGGAAAAACAGTAAACCATGATTGACTTAAGATTATAACAGTATCCATTTAGCCACTGTGCCTGTCTGGTTCAGCGTTAGCAACTATTTCAGACACTCTATAGCAGAAATAGGTTTCAATGAAACTGACTGGTGGCCAGACTAGAGTCACTCACTCTCAGCCCAGATAGGGAGTTGAAGGGAAATCTGTCCCATTGACATTTTAAGGTGTAAAAGTGATGAGGTGTTGTGTTGTGTGTTAAGAAATCCTCACCTCCTTGTACTCCTGGATCTGGCTCTGCTCAAACATGGAGAACACGTTAGAGGAACCACCCTCTGCTGCTGCTCCCCTCCTCTTGGCCTTCTTGGGTGCCTGAAGGACAAACACATCAACTGCTTAACAATGCGACCTTCTAGGTCTGTTCACCCTGCAGCTGTAGCCCTCAGGAGGCAAATTAGTGACCTTTCACCTCAGTGTCAAGCTGTTCCTGGTCATGGACAGGTGAGTGGATGTCCTTGTCCTTGTGTGGAGGTCCAGTACAGTGTTCCCTCTGCCATATACCGTTACAGTCTTTGATCTGACCTGACTATCAGTGTGATGTGGGGTGAATATGTGTGGTCCACCATCATGTCTGTGGAAGTAAAAATCCTGCCACTATGTCTTAGATGTAGTTTAACATCCCTTACTACCTAGCACTTGAAAATTGCTCAGAAAAGTTCAGGAACAATCTTGCTCTGGCTCAGGACAGAGGAGGATGTTTTTGAATGTGGATGTATTAAAACATTCATTCTCTTCGGGTAGCTAACCTTTTAAAGCATATTTTATATAAATGTTGTTAATAAAGTGTCAACAAAATATTTAGATCCTGTGAATGATATTGTATATCCAGGAACAGCTTTACACCAAAAATAAATAAAAATGTCACCATCAAAAAAAGTCCAAAGTACAGTTGAGTTTTAAAAGGTTGTTCCATCATTTTTTTATTTATCTAGCAATAAGCTTCAAATAGAAAAACAAGAAAATCTGGAAACGCTGTGTTATTCCTGGAGGTTCCCATCGACAGCACACAGAGTAGTGGACAGGTAAACAGGCAGAAAGTGAGGACCGGTGTTACTCACCATCTCGAGACGGTATGTATGGAGGTTTGGATGGTCAACAAGAGAAGAGACTGATGTGAAGCCGCATTAAACCCCTATCCTCGGGGGCTTATATACCTCTGTAGGCCGAGCTAACTTTAGCCACATCCTCAAGTTTGGATTTGTAGAGGCAGAGAGAGAGAGAGAGAAAGAGAGAGGGAGGGATGAGTTCGTAGCAAAAGTTAAGCGACAGGCAGAATGAGGGACAAGCTATCACCTTACAGGAGATCAGAAATAGACCCAGGAGTCTTGGAATGAAGTGAACCCGATACAACAGGGACCAGGCCATACGTTTAGTGTCCCACGTGGACAAATATGGACATTCAGGACATAAAAGGCTTCATGGACTGCTGGCTGGACACATCTAGGCACCCTTCCATCCCTACATAGTCTCCATCACCATCACCCTTCAGTGTGGCACATCAACCTATCATTGACTTTAGTTTTTCCATTACAATATTAAAGACTTAAATAAACACATTTTGTGCTCTCAGCGACTTGAAATGTAAGTTTTTATATTTACCCTGCATGAGCATGCATAGGTAGATATCTTTCACTGTCCACACTTTCTATATTCATATGTCCAGCTATTCCACAGGCAATTGAAACGGCCTTCTCACATTTTGCATGGCACTGCACATAACTGCACTATCCTGCATGCATGTGTAATGTCATAACATAAAATACTTCCACTGCATCAATATTTTCAATATTTTGGGAACACTCTGGTACAGTGTTTATGTATATTAGACCATGTTTTATGTTGTAGGTAGTTCGATCTCCAATCCCCCTAGAGTCTAAGGGCCCGAGGCTGGGTTTCTACTAAGCTAACATATGGAGTTGTTGTAAGACAGTTACACCAAGGACCATTCAGCTATTTGATTTTGAATTTTAGGACCCCTGTAGTGGTATATACACTGCTCAAAAAAATTAAGGGAACACTTAAACAACACAATGTAACTCCAAGTCAATCACACTTCTGTGAAATCAAACTGTCCACTTAGGAAGCAACACTGATTGACAATAAATTTCACATGCTGTTGTGCAAATGGAATAGACAACAGGTGGAAATTATAGGCAATTAGCAAGACACCCCCAATAAAGGAGTGGTTCTGCAGGTGGTGACCACAGACCACTTCTCAGTTCCTATGCTGATGTTTTGGTCACTTTTGAATGCTGGCGGTGCTTTCACTCTAGTGGTAGCATGAGACGGAGTCTACAACCCACACAAGTGGCTCAGGTAGTGCAGCTCATCCAGGATGGCACATCAATGCGAGCTGTGGCAAGAAGGTTTGCTGTGTCTGTCAGCGTAGTGTCCAGAGCATGGAGGCGCTACCAGGAGACAGGCCAGTACATCAGGAGACATGGAGGAGGCTGTAGGAGGGCAACAACCCAGCAACATGATCGCTACCTCCGCCTTTGTGAAAGGAGGAGCAGGAGGAGCACTGCCAGAGCCCTGCAAAATGACCTCCAGCAGGCCACAAATGTGCATGTGTCTGCTCAAACGGTCAGAAACAGACTCCATGAGGGTGGTATGAGGGCCCGACGTCCACAGGTGGGGGTTGTGCTTACAGCCCAACACCGTGCAGGACGTTTGGCATTTGCCAGAGAACACCAAAATTGGCAAATTCGCCACTGGCGCCCTGTGCTCTTCACAGATGAAAGCAGGTTCACACTGAGCACATGTGACAGACGTGACAGAGTCTGGAGACGCCGTGGAGAACGTTCTGCTGCCTGCAACATCCTCCAGCATGACCGGTTTGGTGGTGGGTCAGTCATGGTGTGGGGTGGCATTTCTTTGGGGGGCCGCACAGCCCTCCATGTGCCTGCCAGAGGTAGCCTGACTGCCATTAGGTACCGAGATGAGATCCTCAGACCCCTTGTGAGACCATATGCTGGTGCGGTTGGCCCTGGGTTCCTCCTAATGCAAGACAATGCTAGACCTCATGTGGCTGGAGTGTGTCAGCAGTTCCTGCAAGAGGAAGGCATTGATGCTGTGGACCGCCCGTTCCCCAGACCTGAATCCAATTGAGCACATCTGGGACATCATGTCTCGCTCCATCCACCAACGCCACGTTGCACCACAGACTGTCCAGGAGTTGGCGGATGCTTTCGTCCAGGTCTGGGAGGAGATCCCTCAGGAGACGATCCGCCACCTCATCAGGAGCATGCCCAGGCATTGTAGGGAGGTCATACAGGCACGTGGAGGCCACACACACTACTGAGCCTCATTTTGACTTGTTTTAAGGACATTACATCAAAGTTGGACCAGCCTGTAGTGTGGTTTTCCACTTACATTTTGAGGGTGATTGCAAATCCAGACCTCCATGGGTTGATACATTTGATTTCCATTGATAATTTTTGTGTGATTTTGTTGTCAGCACATTCAACTATGTAAAGAAAAAAGTATTTAATAAGATTATTTCATTCATTCAGATCTAGGATGTGTTATTTAAGTGTTCCCTTTATTTTTTTGAGCAGTGTATATGGGTTAATAGCAAAAGGCCAAATTCAATGTTTCATTAAATAACAATAATAATACAATTTAAAAATAAGAATATACACTACCAGTCAAAAGCTTTAGAACACCTACTCATTGAAGGGTTTTCTTGACTATGAAACCAAAAATCTCCAATTTGGACTCATCAGACCAAAGGACAAATTTGCACCGGTCTAAATTCCATTGCCCGTGTTTCTTGGCCCAAGCAAGTCTCTTCTTCTTATTTGTGTCTTTTAGTAGTGGTTTCTTTGCAGCATTTCGACCATGAATGCCTGATTCACACAGTCTCCTCTGAACAGTTGATGTTGAGATGTGTCTTACTTGAACTCTGTGAAGCATTTATTTGGGCTGCAATTTCTGAGGCTGGTAACTCTAATGAACTTGTCCTCTGCAGCAGAGGTAACTCTGGGTCTTCCTTTCCTGTGGCGGTCCTCATGAGAGCCAGTTTCATCATAGCGCTTGATGGTTTTTGCGACTGCACTTGAAGAAACTTTCAAAGTTCTTGACATTTTCCCGGATTGACTGACCTTCATGTCTTAAAGTAATGATGGACTGTCGTTTCTCTCTGCTTATTTGAGCTGTTCTTGCCATAATATGGACTTGGTATTTTACCAAATAGGTCTATCTTCTGTATACCACCCCTACCTTGCCACAACACAAATGATTGGCTCAAACGCATTAAGAAGGAAAGAAATTCCACAAATTAACTTTTACCAAGGCACACCTGTTTGCATTCCAGGTGACTACCTCATGAAGCTGGTTGAGAGAATGCCAAGAGTGTGCAAAGATGTCATCAAAGCAAAGAGTGGCTACTTTGAAGAATCTAAAATATATTTTGATTTGTTTAACACTTTTTTGGTTACTACATGATTCCATATGTGTTACGTGGCCCTCTGTAGCTCAATTGGTAGAGCATGGCGCTTGTAATGCCAGGGTAGTGGGTTCGATCCCCGGGACCACCCATATGTAAAACTGTATGCACACATGACTGTAAGTCGCTTTGGATAAAAGCGTCTGCTAAATGGCTTATTATTATTATTATTTCATAGTTGTCTTCACTATTATTAAACAATGTAGAAAATAGTCAAAATAAAGAAAAACCCTGGAACGAGTAGGTGTGTCCAAACTTTTGACTGGTACTGTATATATATATAAACTCAGCAAAAAAAGAAACGTCCTCTCACTGTCAACTGCGTTTATTTTCAGCAAACTTAACATGTGTAAATATTTGTATGAACATAACAAGATTCAACAACTGAGACATAAACTGAACAAGTTCCACAGACATGTGACTAACAGAAATGGAACAATGTGTCCCTGAGGGGGGTCAAAATCAAAAGTAACAGTCAGTATCTGGTGTGGCCACCAGCTGCATTAAGTACTGCAGTGCATCTCCTCCTTATGGACTGCACCAGATTTGCCTGTTCTTGCTGTGAGATGTTACCCCACTCTTCCACCAAGGCACCTGCAGGTTCCCTGACATTTCTGGGGGTATGGCCCTAGCCCTCACCCTCCGATCCAACAGGTCCCAGACGTGCTCAATGGGATTGAGATCCGGGCTCTTCGCTGGCCATGGCAGAACACTGACATTCCTGTCTTGCAGGAAATCACGCACAGAACGAGCAGCATGGCTGGTGGCATTGTCATGCTGGAGGATCATGTCAGGATGAGCCTGCAGGAAGGGTACCACATGAGGGAGGAGGATGTCTTCCCTGTAACGCACAGCGTTGAGATTGCCTGCAATGACAACAAGCTCAGTCCGATGATGCTGTGATACACCGCCCCATACAATGACGGACCCTCCACCTCCAAATCAATCCCGCTCCAGAGTACAGGCCTCGGTGTAACGCTCATCCTTCGACGATAAACGCGAATCCGACCATCACCCCTGGTGAGACAAAACTGCGACTCGTTAGTGAAGAGCACTTTTTGCCAGTCCTGTCTGGTCCAGCGACGGTGGGTTTGTGCCAATAGGCGACGTTGTTGCGGGTGATGTCTGGTGAGGACCTGCCTTACAACAGGCCTACAAGCCCTCAGTTCAGCCTCTCTCAGCCTATTGTGGACAGTCTGAGCACTGATGGAGGAATTGTGCATTCCTGGTGTAACTCGGGCAGTTGTTGTTGCCATCCTGTATCTGTCCCGCAGGTGTGATGTTTGGATGTACCGATCCTGTGCAGGTGTTGTTACACATGTTCTGCCACTGCGAGGACGATCAGCTGTCCGTCCCATCTCCCTGTAGCGCTGTCTTAGGCGTCTCACAGTACGGACATTGCAATTTATTGCCCTGGCCACATCTGCAGTCCTCATGCCTCCTTGCAGCATGCCTAAGGCATGTTCACGCAGATGAGCAGGGACCCTGGGCATCTTTCTTTTGGTGTTTTTCAGAGTCAGTAGAAAGGCCTCTTTAGTGTCCTAAGTTTTTATAACTGTGACCTTAATTGCCTACCGTCTGTAAACTGTTAGTGTCTTAACGACCGTTCCACAGGTGCATGTTCATTAATTGTTTATGGTTCATTGAACAAGCATGGGAAACAGTGTTTAAACCCTTTACAATGAAGATCTGTGAAGTTATTTGGATTTTTACGAATTATCTTTGAAAGACAGGGTCCTGAAAAAGGGACGTTTCTTTTTTTGCTGAGTTTATATACTGTATCACAGGAGGTTGGTGGAAACTTAATTGGGGAGGACGGGCTTGTGGTAATGTCTGGAGCGGAATAGGTGGAATGGTATCAAATACATCAAAGACATGGTTTGATGCCATTCCATTTGTGCCGTTCCAGCCATCCTCCCCTCAGCAGCCTTCTGTGTACTGTATATACAGTGGGGGAAAAAAGTATTTAGTCAGCCACCAATTGTGCAAGTTCTCCCACTTAAAAAGATGAGAGAGAAAATCCAGAAAATCACATTGTAGAGTTTTTAATGAATTTATTTGCAAATTATGGTGGAAAATAAGTATTTGGTCACCTACAAACAAGCAAGATTTCTGGCTCTCACAGACCTGTAACTTCTTATTTAAGAGGCTCCGCTGTCCTCCACTCGTTACCTGTATTAATGGCACCTGTTTGAACTTGTTATCAGTATAAAAGACACCTGTCCACAACCTCAAACAGTCACACTCCAAACTCCACTATGGCCAAGACCAAAGAGCTGTCAAAGGACACCAGAAACAAAATTGTAGACCTGCACCAGGCTGGGAAGACTGAATCTGCAATAGGTAAGCAGCTTGGTTTGAAGAAATCAACTGTGGGAGCAATTATTAGGAAATGGAAGACATACAAGACCACTGATAATCTCCCTCGATCTGGGGCTCCACGCAAGATCTCACCCCGTGGGGTCAAAATGATCACAAGAACGGTGAGCAAAATCCCAGAACCACACGGGGGGACCTAGTGAATGACCTGCAGAGAGCTGGGACCAAAGTAACAAAGCCTACCATCAGTAACACACTACGCCGCCAGGGACTCAAATCCTGCAGTGCCAGACGTGTCCCCCCTGCTTAAGCCAGTACATTTCTAGGCCCGTCTGAAGTTTGCTAGAGTGCATTTGGATGATCCAGAAGAGGATTGGGAGAATGTCATATGGTCAGATGAAACCAAAATAGAACTTTTGGTAAAAACTCAACTCGTCGTGTTTGGAGGACAAAGAATGCTGAGTTGCATCCAAAGAACACCATACCTACTGTGAAGCATGGGGGTGGAAACATCATGCTTTGGGGCTGTTTTTCTGCAAAGGGACCAGGACGACTGATCCGTGTAAAGGAAAGAATGAATGGGGCCATGTATCGTGAGATTTTGAGTGAAAACCTCCTTCCATCAGCAAGGGCATTGAAGATGAAACGTGGCTGGGTCTTTCAGCATGACAATGATCCCAAACACAAACCGCCCGGGCAACGAAGGAGTGGCTTCGTAAGAAGCATTTCAAGGTCCTGGAGTGGCCTAGCCAGTCTCCAGATCTCAACCCCATAGAAAATCTTTGGAGGGAGTTGAAAGTCCGTGTTGCCCAGCGACAGCCCCAAAACATCACTGCTCTAGAAGAGATCTGCATGGAGGAATGGGCCAAAATACCAGCAACAGTGTGTGAAAAACCTTGTGAAGACTTACAGAAAACGTTTGACCTGTGTCATTGCCAACAAAGGGTATATAACAAAGTATTGAGAAACTTTTGTTATTGACCAAATACTTATTTTCCACCATAATTTGCAAATAAATTCATTAAAAATCCTACAATGTGATTTTCTGGATTTTCTTTTCTAATTTTGTCTGTCATAGTTGACGTGTACCTATGATGAAAATTACAGGCCTCTCTCATCTTTTTAAGTGGGAGAACTTGCACAATTGGTGGCTGACTAAATACTTTTTTCCCCCACTGTATACAGTATTTTATTATTTGATGGAACATTGAATTTGGCCTTTTGCTATTAGCCCATAGAAACGCATTGAATAACATATTCATACATGGCAAAACAGATATTAAAAAAACACACACTTTCTCTGTTGTTCATATGCCCACTTACAGAAGAAAAACCCCAAAAAAAAAAAAACCACTTTTTTTTTTTTAATGCAAAAAAAACAAAAACCCCCCCCCCCCCCCCCCCCCCCCCCCCCCCCCCCCAAAACGTCCCCCCCGGAAAGGGGCTCCACCCCCCCAATTTTGGGGTCTTTGGGCCCGGGGGAACTTTTTTTCCTTTGGGTTTCCTTTGGGGGCCCCGAACCCCACACCCCTGGTTTTTCCCCCTTTTTTAAGACAAAATTTTTTCCCTTTCCGGTCCGACTGGGGTTTTTTAAGCGTTTTTGCCTTGATGTTTCTGGGGGGACCCCCCTTACAAAAGGCCCAACCCCTCCCCCCAACTATTGCAATCTGGATGAAGATTGATTGTCATTTGGTGAACCGGGATTCTTGTTTCCAATCCTGTTTGCCCAAGGTGTGATTTTGGCTTAAAATCCCGTGATGGTTGTTGTTACTTTTTGGGCCCTGCGAGGCGTCCCTGTGTCCCTCCCTGTAAGCGGTTTTTGGGTCCACGTACGGCATTGAAATTTTTTGCCCTGCCATCATTAAATCCTCATGGCTCTTAGCATCAGCCCTAAAAGGCATGTCAACGAGAATGAGCGGGACCGTGGCATTTTCCTTTTGGTGTTTTTCAGATCGAGAAACCTCTTTAGTTAAGGTTTATCGGACCTAATTCCTAACCGTCAAAACTGTTTTTCTTACACCGTTCCCAGGCCTGTTCATTAATTGGGATTCTTGGGGCCAAACATGGAAAAGTGTTTAAAACCTTTAAACTGAAGACTTTAAGTTTTTGGTTTTTACTTAATTAAACAGGTTAAAAAGGACTTTCTTTTTTTTTCCCGATTTATCATTTTCCCCAAGATTTAAAAATTAATTGGGAGAAACGGGCTTGTGTTTCTTGGGGGTCTGTAGTAATGGTACTAATCAAGGCATGGTTTTTCCATTCCTTTGTGCGTTAGCCATCCTTCTACATCCCTTCTGGCCCCCTGTAATACAATGGGAAAAAATATTTATCAGCCACCAATTGTGCAATTCCCCCCCCTTAAAAAGATGAGAGAGCCGTAATTTTCACCATAGTTCATGGGCAACAAGGGCGACAATTGAGAAAAGAAATCCAAAAATCACATTGTAGATTTTTATGATTTATTTGCAATTATGTGGAAATAAGTATTTGGTCACCTACAAACAAACAAGATTTCGGCTCTCACGACCTGTAACTCTTATTTAGAGCTCCGCTGTCCCCCCACTCGTTACCTGTATTAATGGGACCTTTGAACTTGTTATAATTTTAAAAGACACCTGTCCACAACTCAAACATCACACCTCCAAACTCCACTATGGGGCCCAAAACCAAGACTGTCAAAAAACACCCCGAAAAAAATGTAGACCTCCCCAGGGTGGGAAGACTAATCGAATAGGTAAGCTTTTTTTGAAAAAATAAATTTGGGGGGGAATATTAGAATGGAAGACAAAAAAACCACTGATAATCTCCCTCGTCTGGGGCTCTTATTTTCAGCAACTACATGTGTAATATTTGTATGAACATAACAAGATTCAACAACTGAGACATAAACTGAACAAGTTCCACAGACATGTGACTAACAGAAATGGAACAATGTGTCCCTGAGGGGGGTCAAAATCAAAAGTAACAGTCAGTATCTGGTGTGGCCACCAGCTGCATTAAGTACTGCAGTGCATCTCCTCCTTATGGACTGCACCAGATTTGCCTGTTCTTGCTGTGAGATGTTACCCCACTCTTCCACCAAGGCACCTGCAGGTTCCCTGACATTTCTGGGGGTATGGCCCTAGCCCTCACCCTCCGATCCAACAGGTCCCAGACGTGCTCAATGGGATTGAGATCCGGGCTCTTCGCTGGCCATGGCAGAACACTGACATTCCTGTCTTGCAGGAAATCACGCACAGAACGAGCAGCATGGCTGGTGGCATTGTCATGCTGGAGGATCATGTCAGGATGAGCCTGCAGGAAGGGTACCACATGAGGGAGGAGGATGTCTTCCCTGTAACGCACAGCGTTGAGATTGCCTGCAATGACAAACAAGCTCAGTCCGATGATGCGTGTGATACACCGCCCCATACATACGGACCCTCCACCTCCAAATCAATCCCGCTCCAGAGTACAGGCCTCGGTGTAACGCTCATCCTTCGCGATAAACGCGAATCCGACCATCACCCCTGGTGAGACAAAACTGCGACTCGTTAGTGAAGAGCACTTTTTTGCCAGTCCTGTCTGGTCCAGCGACGGTGGGTTTTGTGCCAATAGGCGACGTTGTTGCGGGTGATGTTCTGGTGAGGACCTGCCTTACAACAGGCCTACAAGCCCTCAGTTTAGCCTCTCTCAGCCTATTGTGGACAGTCTGAGCACTGATAGAGGAATTGTGCGTTCTTGGTGTAACTCTGGCAGTTGTTGTTGCCATCCTGTACCTGTCCCGCAGGTGTGATGTTTGGATGTACCAATCCTGTGCAGGTGTTGTTACACATGTTCTGCCACTGCGAGGACGATCAGCTGTCCGTCCCATCTCCCTGTAGCGCTGTCTTAGGCGTCTCACAGTACGGACATTGCAATTTATTGCCCTGGCCACATCTGCAGTCCTCATGCCTCCTTGCAGCATGCCTAAGGCATGTTCACGCAGATGAGCAGGGACCCTGGGCATCTTTCTTTTGGTGTTTTTCAGAGTCAGTAGAAAGGCCTCTTTAGTGTCCTAAGTTTTTATAACTGTGACCTTAATTGCCTACCGTCTGTAAACTGTTAGTGTCTTAACGACCATTCCACAGGTGCATGTTCATTCATTGTTTATGGTTCATTGAACAAGCATGGGAAACAGTGTTTAAATTCTTTACAATGAAGATCTGTGAAGTTATTTGGATTTTTACGAATTATCTTTGAAAGACAGTGTCCTGAAAAAGGGACGTTTCTTTTTTTGCTGAGTTTATATACTGTATCACAGGAGGTTGGTGGCACCTTAATTAAAGCATTAAAGTACTGTACCGGGTTACCTTCAGACGAGGCTTGTGAGGCTTGTGGGTGTCGTAGAGCAAAACAACGACGTGTAGGTGTTCATGAGAGAGTCAGCTTTCGATGGTGGGATAATATTAGTTCGGACGCTACAGACATTTTTGCAAGAAGACTGATTTTCGGGACTTCTCCTGGTCTGACAAACACAGCTGTGGCTCTGCCACTTTCCAGTGCAGTTGCAGAAGGCCAACATCGGCGGATGTAATGGATTGAGCTCATCCCAAAAACATTCAGATATCTCTAGTTTAAACAGACAGATTTTGATGGGGATTTTTTTATTTTGCTAATTCCATTAACACGATTGCGCGTCGATTGACTTTAGAGGGTTCCATTAAGAGGTTTCACCACCAGTGGCAGGAGTGCTAAACAAACTATACTCCCTAAAACCAACCTCAGGTGGTTAACCTTTGACAAAAACCCAAGAAACTTCAGGCACTGTTAACTTCTGACCAATGCCCTTTTTTCTCCTAGGTTTTATTAGGGGTTCTACTTTAGTGATGCACACATTTTCTCTGTTTTCATTGTGCCACACACAGAAAGACAGACAGACAGACCCCCCCCCCCCCCCACACACACACACACAGACACACAGACACACACAGTTTTGTATTGCTATCTTTGTGGGGACCAAATAATTGATTCCCATCCTAAATCCTATTTTCCCTAACCCTAACCCTAACATTTAACCTAACCATAACCCTAACCTAAACCCTAAGCCTAATCTTATTCCTAAACCCCTAACCCTAACCCTAAAACTATATCTAACCCTAACTCCTAACCCTAACCTTAATTCTAACCCTAATTTTAACCCTAACCCTAAACCTAACCCCTAAACCTAAAATAGCATTTTTCCTCATGGGGACCAGCAAAATGTCCCCATTTGTCCGAATGTTTCTTGTTTTATTATCCTTGTGAGGACACACACACACATTGCTCTCTCTCTCTCCTCAAGTGCTCCCATCCATCCACCCACTCACACACACACCCACACACAGACACACATACCCACAGCTCTCTCCCTCCTCAAGTGCTCCACTCCCAATGCCATGTCGGAGGGGATCACAGGGAGGGGGACTGAGCGGGACTGATGGTGCAGGAGGAGCTCTGAGGAGAATATGTATGAGGGACAGCTGAGAGAGACCAAAATAGCAAAGCAAACTTGTCTGCCCCCCCCCCCCCCCACACACACACACTCATCATCCATTTAAAAACTGTCCATCCATAGTTCATCCACTCATCTAGTTGTTTTTATATATTTTGATAATTTATATTGTGGCTGCTCTTCCAGTCTGGTGTCTTTGATGTTTGTTTTTAAACAGCACTTCCCACTTAAGCCCAAAGTGCCGCCAGACAGGTGAGAAGCTTCCCTAGTGTCGCGAGACAGCCCGTCGCGCTCATGGTCTTTACTGGTTTCCGTGGCAGCGGGAATTTGGATTAGTGAGGCTTTGTTGTTCTTCTGTGAGACTATGGTAGGGCCTGTAACCTGCCGTCGGTTGTCTGTGTTGTTCTATGACCGCTGCCTTGTTATTGCCATGGTCACGCAGGAATGTGAAGTCATTTTTTATGATCCTTTAGTTGATTTAACCAGGGAAGTTACATTCAAGGATGCCTGGTCATATGGTGTACCGTACATGATCTACACACAGTTCTGTAACAGGACCCCATACTTCCTTATATAGAGTGCCCATAGCCTACTTTATTATAAGACAGGTTACCAGGGGTGTTCAATGTCGGTCCTGGAGGGCCGAAATACTTCTGGCTTTCATCCTCTCCTTCTAATAAGGGACTAACTCAGACCTGGGACACCAGGTGAGTGCGATTAACTACCAGGTAGAAACAAAGTGTTTCGGCCCACCAGGACCGGAATTGAACAGCCCTGGGTTACACCTTATGGCTTGTTTATATCCTGTCACAGTGTGAGGAGGTGTTAATATACAGATGTATGTGCATTGTGTAAGGTGAGACACTTCACCACGCTCCCCTGGACAAATCTATCACATTCTAGATGATAGGTATGAATGTCTGGTATGTGGTGAAGTCAAAGTCTCATCTTAAACTACGACTTTGAGACGCACATAGAAAACCACTTTCACACTTCAACTTCAAAGTTATCCAGAGCAAATAGCGATACGTGCCTTGCTCAAGGGCACATTAACAGATTTTTCTCCTAGTCAGCTCAGGGATTCGAACCAGCAACCGTTTGGTTATTGGCCCAATGCTCTTAACCGCTAGGATACCTGCCACCATGTGTGAACTTTACTGTGATCTTTGAACTTTACTGTGATCTGTTGATCTGATATTCTTACATTTGTAAATTGTTTCTTTTACCACTGGTGTCTCTCTAGTGTACATTATATTCAGCCTCATAAATGCTTATCTCAGAACCCAGATCCAAATCTCACATCTGTCATGAGGTCCTATTAGTATTAGCTCACTTTTCATCACTTGGTTTTTCAATTGAATGTGTTAGATGTTGGCTGGCGGATGGATGTCCCATCAGGGCAATACCAGAGAGGGCTCTTTGATACTACTGTCTCTCTCTATGACAATATTATGATTGAATTAAACTGAGTCTTGTCACACTTTTTAATCAATGGACATTAATGGTTTCATCAACAGGCAGTGTTTGTAGCACCCTCTGGTGGTACAGAATGGTTGCGCTGCATCAACCTTAGTGGGCATTAAAGTTGCTTAAAATAATGGATACATTTAATATGAACTATATACACCTAATAATATAGAGCTGCACTGTATCTTATTATTTTGTTAAACAGGGATGTGAAGCCTTAACAACACATCAATATTCATGATGTTTAACACATCACAAGGATGTTTTTACGTTTTACATTTTAGTCATTTAGCAGACACTCTTACAGTTAGTGCATTCATCTTCAGATAGCTAGGTGGGACAACCACATATCACAGGTATATAAAGTACATTTTTCCCTCAATAACATAGCTATCAATAGAGTCAGAGCTAGAAGGGGGGAGGGTCAAGTGCTGGTGAAGTGTTGTTGTGTTGTTGTTGTAGGGTTTCAGATGTTTGCGGAAGATGGGCAGGGACTCTGCTGTCCTAGCTTCAGGGGGAAGCTGGTTCCACCACTGTGGTGCCAGGACAGAGAAGAGCTTGGACTGGGCTGAGATGGGAGCGGGAGCTGCCCTCCTGTAGGGGTGGGAGGGCCATGAGACCCGAGGTGGCAGAACGGAGTGCTCGGGTTGGGGTGTAGGGTTTGAGCATAGCCTGAAGGTAGGGAGGGGCAGTTCCTCTTGCTGTTCCGTAGGTAAGCACCATGGTTTTGCAGTGGATGCTAGATTTGACTGGAAGCACTTTGCTTCAATATTGCATAACCCAGATAGTTGACAAAAAGTTAAGCTTCACACTCACCATCAATATTACCTAGAAAATATACCAGGGATTTTAATGATAATTTAAAAACAGTAACAGACAAACCAGTAGGAGTGTCAGTACTCTGAAATAAGAAAGTGACTATCATTTGAGGAACTAGAGTGTTTAAGAGGAACCAGTCACCTGTGTGTACAGCATGAGGGATTATAGTCCTATAACCTAAAGTAGCAGGCGTAAAAGAAACACCTGAGCAGAGTTCCCACATCAGGTTTTCAGCGGAAAAGGAAACTAGGTTTAAGATAGCTGTATCCCTGAAAACCAGATGCATCCGGTTGTTTGCAACACCGCTAAGGGTGATAGTCCTATGAGTTTGATGATGAGTCTCTGCTCAGTGACAAGACATTTTGAGGCTCATCATCAACCTGATAGGACTATAATCCCCTCATGATGTACACACAGGTGACTAGTTCCTCTTAAATGCTCTAGTTCCTCAAACGATAAAGTCACTTTCTTATTTCAGATTACTGGCATTCACACCAAAGTCCTCATCAACATAACCAGAGTGGTGACTGTCTGATCTCTGGGGGTCAGTGTTCACTCAGGTCAATAAGATCCTCCTCAAGGTGCTCCTCTTCCTCCTGCCTCCTCCTCAGCCAATCAGCTCTCAGCTGCTTCACCCCCTCTCCATAGTAATCATGTAGCTTGGTGAAATCCTCTAGAGGATCAAAGTCCACTTGTGGCCATTCCCCATATGGTGGTGCTGGTCCATTTATCGGTGTGACATGTGCATTTCTCTTGGGCCAATGCTTAGGGGACCTCTTATTGATCACTTTGCTGGGCATTGGAGGGGCTTGTAATACATTACTGGCACTGTGGCTTCCCCCTTCTCTCCTCACTGGTCCTGGCATGAGGAAGGAGGAGGAGCATGAGTTCAGGGAAGCCATGGATTGGGTAAGGCACTTTGAGCCTGGACCAGTCACAGTGGTTCGTTGATGGGATTCAGCAGGGCCTGCTTGGCGTTTAGCCTCTGCTTAGTGACAAAAGAATACAGGTTGAGAGGCAGGATAGGAGCACATCTTTTTGAAGCATGAATACAAGAATACACACACATCACACTCTCTCCACACACTCACCTTCGTATTGCTTCCCCAGGTCTCTGACCAGCAGTGAAAGGTAGCAGTGGCTGGCTGTGAGCAGAGCTTTGACCCAGCTCTCCTGGCCCAGCTGGTCCTCAGCAGCAAGCCTGTAGCTTTTCAGCCCTGACCCTCTGAACACCATGGAGAAGGCAAACAGTCCTCCCTCAGACTCACAGTGCTGGACAGCACAGCCCTCTAGGACAATAACCCCCAGCAGGTGTCGATCTGCCGGACGCTCCTGGTAGAACAGCAGATTGGCCTTCAGGACAAACCAGCGCCTCTGGTAGGAGGAGGTCCTCTCTTTCTAATGTGGTATGTGTAAGAGGAGGATGCCAGGGTGGTGGGGTGAAAGATGGAGAAAGGGAGGAATAAGTTACAATATTTTTGGTGAAGGGAAGTTGTAAAGAGTGAGAATAAATAGGTACGGAGATAAATACAGAGATAATTTTACCCAAATGAGTGCCATTATACAAGGGGGGGGGGGGGGGGGGGGGGGTTGAGTGTGATAATAATAGAAGTAGCTTCAAATATCAGTTGAGACATAATTATTATTAGGCAGGGAAACGCACAAGGCCAAGAGGAGACTGTGTTATAACAGAATCTCACAGCATATTGATAATGTAATTTGGCTCTTGCTTGTGTCTGTCAACTTTTACAATACCTTTTTGTAGAGATATCCTTCTTTATCTACCGGTGAGGTGCAGGATAGGTAATGGGTTAAAATCTTCTCATGGATCTTCATTACAACGTTCTCCACCGAAGATAGGATCCTTTAGAGGATGGAAGGCACCCTTGACAATATCAATACAGTACCAGTAGTACAGACACATAACATTTGAGTCTTGTTTGTCTGTCAAAATACCTCCTTTCTTTTTTTACCAGTAAAGCAACATAGTCAGTAACCAGTTGCCATAGTCCTCTATTCAACTAGTCCATTCTTTATGACAATTATCTTAAATCTACACACAATTTCCATCTCTATCTCTTGCCAGTCGAGCGGAGGAGTAGTGTGTTATCCAAGCTTACCTCTCAGGGTCACTCTCTATCCATCCAATTGTAAATGTTTTAGAATTTCTGCCATAAACCTTCACTTGTTCCTCTCAGTCTAATGCCCACAGTAGTTGATGTTCACTGCAACGCATCTAGAATAAGACAATGTTTAAATATAAAGTTTCAGGTTACGAACACAGGTCCTCCCCTGGGTACTAGAGGACAAGTGTTGAAATATAAATAACTCGACCCACATCCTGGTAACAAAACTCTGACACACAATATTCTCTCTCCCCTCTACGTTTGAGTCCTCATCTATTACCCAGATAGTATACATTGAGGGGGTGTTTTTCCTCACTTCCCTGTTCTGTGTAAAATGTTAAGTTAATTTCCTCATTGATGCTTTAGAAAAAGTATTACTTTATCAAAGTCCATTAAATGTGTTCTTGAAGTTGATTAAATGTTCCTTACTTCCTCTGATGATTGATTCAGAATCAAGAAAGAATCCTCTCATTAAGGCCTAGTTGGGCCCTAGAGCACCAAAATGACTGGTAATGAGGGCCAGAGCCACATAAACAGAGCTTTATCAGTGCAGTTTTTATCTTTTGAAATTAAGCAAACATTTTGATGAACAATTAAAACAAAAATGGACTAGAGAACAATGAGAGTTATTTGACCTTGACAAAGGGAAAACTTGTGCTTGCACTGAAATCATAGAAGCCCAAAGAGTATAAAAACATACTCTGTGGCTTACCTGAACATAGTAACAACACAAGGCTCCTAAGAAAAGGAGTAGTGTCATTGGCTTTCATTAAATTGGTAATTAAAGGCAAATATTTCCCCTCCTTTAAACACCCATGAAATGGCCTTGCATTGAGATAGATACGTTACAAAACATTTAAACACTTCTACACTAACACACTCTGAATACACCCCGTTCTGGTGCTGAACGTTTTGACCTGTTTAGAGAACTTTTTGAGACCGTGATGACTCTTGAACACGCCCCAGAACGGTACGCATCACATCACTTCCTGTTTAGTTGAATGGCGCTTGCAGACTTTTCATATCGATAGCTGGTAGCTAGCGAGGTAGTTTTTGTTTTCCTTAGCTTTCTGCATTTAGATACATGTTGTATTTTTTTTCCGAATTATGCTTATCCATCCACAGATTCATGCAAGGTGTTGTGAAGCCAGCTAACTTACGCCCCTTTAACATTATTTACTAACTCCGCACGTGTCGTTGTTGTTGCTTGGTACCTGCTAGTACTGTAGCAGCTAGCAAAACAAAACTAATTTAGCTAGCTGTAGTAATCGCACTATTGTGGAGATAATCATATCAATCACGTAAGTTAACGCCACGTGGAATAGTGTAGTCGCTTAAATATTTATAAAATACTTACAAGATTATCCAAAGGCTTCAGTAACTGGTTAGTTAACGTTAAGTTAGCTCGCTAGTTAACGTTAGCTAGCACAGTAGTAAGCTAGCTAAGAAGATTGCTTCAATTTGATTGATTACAGTACAGTAATATAGAGACAACATTTATACTACAAACGTTTCGATTTTTTTTTCTCTTCTGTCATCAACAGCATGTCAAAAAGGAAAGTCACGTTTGGGGACGGCGATGGTGGAGAGTTGTTAGAGTTGGATGAGGACGTTCCAAAAAAAAAGGTGCTGCCACAAACAGTTTATCAGATCTTAAGTATAGTGCTACATGGATTTTTAACAGCACAGAGTGGGACATAATTACATCTGACAAACACAACACAAAAATGCTTTTTGATGTAAGAATCTTTCAGTTACTTTTGTTAGCTAGAGGCATTTGTTTGTAGGTTTTCTATACTGACCAGTTTGCTTTGTTCTCTTACCCACCTGGGAACTCGCCAGTTGTGTGAGGACGTGGTTGGGCCGGGCTCCAGGTTCAAGGGAAAACATTCTCTGGACAGTGACGAGGAGGACGAGGAAGAAGATGAAGATAAGAGCAGCAAATACAACATATTGGCCAGTGACGATGTGGAAGGTATGTCTTACCAATTTGATTGTCTTCATAACTGAGACCTGGCCATCCAGTTATTTAAAGGTAGACTGCGAATTGACGTTTGCCACAAGCAGCACCGCAGATATTGGGATAAGGGAGACGCAAGACTTCCCTCGCACACAGTCACACACAGTATCTGTGCATATGCACGGGTTCGCCTTACGCTTTACAACGTGGTAGCCACGGGACCAAATCAGCGGAGAGGTTGAGCCTTGCGCTTCAACACTCTTAGTTGTTGTGTAAATTGATCCACTATGCTGTTTAGTTTTTGCATCTGTCATATCGCTGAGGCTACCTTTAATGTCTAAAAGTGCATGTTTTGTTTTAGGTCAGGAGGGGGCAACAATTGACTGTGACGAGGGAGTTCCCATCACACCCTTTAACCTGGACGATGAGATGCAAGAAGGGCACTTTGACTCAGAAGGAAACTACTACGTCAAAAGGGATGAGGAGATCAGGGACAACTGGCTTGACAACATTGACTGGGTAACTGTGTCTTTAGTTATTTCATTAGTCGTTCACTGCAGAAATGTCACACACAATGAAGTAACGTATTTGTCTCGCTCTTTAGGTGAAAATAAGAGAGCAACCTACTAAACGAAAGAAGAAAGGTCTGGCAGCCAAGAGGAGGAGGAGAGTTGGGGATGAAGATGAGGCAGAAGAAGAGAAACAGAGAGAGGAGAAGCAGGCAGACAGTGACGAAGAGGAAGACATGGAAGAAGAAAAGGAGCCAGTTGAGGACCCCCTGGCATCCTACAGCCAGCATCAGCTCACAGAGGCTGTGTTGGAGCTGCTATTACCTGGGGAGACTGTTGCCGCAGGGCTTCGGCGGCTTGGAGGCCTAGGGGGGCGGAAGAAGGGAAAGCTGAGGGAAGAGAACGGGAAAGCAGAAGAAACAAATAGGGATACTGAAAAACTGGACAGGCTCACAACACTGGCAGACAGACTGGTTGGGAGTGGGGTGTTTGAAATATATCAGCAGACGTATGAGAAACTGGCCTACACACTGAAAGGAAAGAGCCAGCAGCAATCAGCGGGGAGGAGTAAACATGGGGAGGATGAAGAGGAAGAAGATGAGCTTGACATGTTTGCAGACAAAATTGATGAGAAACACAGTGTCAAAGCTCCGGACAAAGAGGATCAGGATGATGAGACAGGTTAGTGAGAGTAAATTGGTGTGCAGTCAGCTGGTTCCAAACCTTTTACACTACTATTACAGGTGCAATTTTTGTTGACTGTTGAGATGTATGTCAATACATATTTTGTTTGTCTTAAGTGAGTGACGAGGTGATGTGGGAGTATAAATGGGACACAGAGGAGAATTCTGAACTCTACGGCCCCTTCAGCAGTCAGCAGATGCAGGTTTGAATTATCTCTCCATTTTCTATTACAGTATAATGGACAAGAAATTAAGGGCAGCAACATCAACACTATCAGTTTATTTTCCTTCTCCCCTTATGATCCTGTACCTGGTTAAACTGGATTAGGCCGGTTCTGTCCAGTAATCCCAATTTTCTGTCTCTTTCAGGGCTGGGTGGATGAGGGCTATTTCAAAGATGGCGTTTACTGCAGGAGGATTGAACAGGGAAGCGCTCAGTTCTACAATTCCAAGAGACTAGACTTTGATCTTTACACATGACCATGATCAGTCCTTGACTAATAATGTTATGTATTATGTTGTGTTTCGTGTGGACCCCAGTAAGAGTAGCTGCGGCTTTTGCAGCAGCTAATGGGGATCCTAATAAATACCAATGATAGTCTCTCGCTCTCTCTCACACACACACACATCCAAATTCTCTATTATCTGATCTCTTATTGTATGTAGCCTCCCTGTTTTAAAATAAACACATTGGTATTTTATATTGTCTATTTCTTGTCTGCTGCTAAGCCTAGAAGCAAGGTCTTGAAACATTGCTAATGCATTTCGCTAAACATTGGTTTTAGGAGCAGTTGTTAGACAAGTTTGCTAAAACTTGTCCCGTGTAGCTCAGTTGGTAGAGTTCGTTTCCCACGGGGGACTAGTATGGGGGAAAAATTAAAATGTATGCACTCACTAACTGTAAGTCGCTCTGTAATATGTTGTATTACACTGGCTTCTGAACCAGCTACTTTCCGGCTTTGTGATTGGTTCTAATGTACATCACTCGAGGACAAAGACTGCTTTCTCGCTTCTATTGGCCGCCCTTACCCAACAAGATCCCTTCACTAGAATGCAGTTGGTTGAGAGACGTTTATAGCTTTCCTTCATTGGTTAGATTTTCCGGAGGGATTTGTTCAATGTGAAAGCTTCGCTCTGATTGGTTTATTGGTCGGTGTGTCAGTGGAACTTTGATGAACGGACATCTGTGAAATGGTTAAACTTGGGCGCCGTCCTGTGTCGTGTTTACGATAAAAATGTCTGTACACAATTATAACAGAACCTCATGTTTTTCTTAGCAAAAAATTGGGGCGGTGCGGTAAGTTTACTATTTGAAGTTGGCTACATAAAATATGCATATTTTGAATGTTTATGACAATAACGTTATCGCAGCAGTGCATTGGCTGGCTGCTAGTGCTAACGTTAGCATATTTGCTAACGTTAGCTAGCTACCTAGCTACTAATACTCGCCCTAACCTCATTTTACGTTATCCTCCTTGAAATTATTTTAACAACACACATCTACTACTAGTTAACGAATAACGTTAGCTCTTGTAGAAGTGGCCACCACCGGTGTACCATCCCCAAGACAACAAAAAATAATGTGCTTTGTTCAAAAGAGAGTGCATGATATGTATTGTCAATAGGAGGCAGAATTATGCATTTTATCAAATACTGGTAGGTATTAGTGGCTTATTCACGCATTTGTTAGCTGACGAGGTAAAACTAATCAAATCAGGTTTGATTGTTCATTCTAGAAAGGTTAAGCTAGATGGTCTCTTGTAAAGTGGTTATCCCACTGGCTATAGGGTGAACGCACCAATTTGTGAGTCGCTCTGGCTAAGAGCGTCTGCTAAATGACGTTAATGTGCCCTTGAGCAAGGCACTTAACCCTAATTGCTCCTGTAAGTCGCTCTGGTTAAGAGCGTCTGCTAAATGACTAAAATGTAAATGTAAAATGTATGGTGAGCTGTGTATGTGTTGGGTTGTTAGCTAACTAAGTTAGTGCTTTTATTTTCATCCAGCTAACACTTTCAATTTGTGTACATTTTGCACAAACGTTTACTGTGCAATTGCTGAACATATACCATAAGCAAGCAAGCCAGTGCCTACCTAATTTGAAAATGAGATAAAAGCATGTTTATCAAATTTTTCACTTATGTTGATGTCCAGCATGTTTGTTTCTGTTGTTGTCTTTACAGAGAAAGACAGATAGAGGGAGAGATTGAGGATGTTGACCTAGTTCCCTGAATTGCTCCCCTAAATAGTCTGTCCAATGGAGGGAGTTTCCAAGGTTCCCCCAACCCCTTTCTGTAATCCCTCTCACAGCGAACCTCCACCCCACCTTCTCCCTCTTTCCTCCGTCACCCCCAGGTATAGTTACCCTGGCACCTTTTGCTTTCCTCTTCCCCTATTGTGTTTATAGTCTTGCTTGTTTGAAACCCATGTTTTTAACCACCATCGCAATTACTGAGAGCTACTGATGAAAAGTCCAAACAATAATTGTTCATCTCCCACAGCTGTGAAGATGGCAAAAAGCCTGGTGATAGGAGGAGGAGTGGGCGCATTCAGAAGACACCGAAGAAGCAGGAGCCCAAAGACACAGTGGCAGAGTCCAGACAAAATACATCCCCTGCCAAGAGAGCGAGGGAGAGCAGCATTGTAGTTACATGTTTAAGTGTTAATGGTTTCTTAGATATTATAGGCTACCTAAAAGGGTCTCGTTTGGTAATCAGTTCACTCCTCTCTGATCCTTAGGTGCAAGCGTCTCACTCCCTGTCAGTAAAGCTAATGAGAGTTGATACCCCCCGCAAACAACCACTAAAAAAGGTATGCAGTAAATGTCTATTTGTGCATGGGCACCTTTCTACTGTATCCACTCTAGAACATATGTCTGTACATCAGTGCTGTTTAACATTAGGGAGGACAATTGTTTTATTTTATTTGTATGAGCATGGTCTTATTTCTATTACAGCATATTGGATGACTGTCATTCATATTCCATTTAGCCAGCCATGATACCCACATTTTCCCTATACCCATCATGAGTTTGCTACAACCTAGCCTACGAATTAAAGTTTATAACGTAGGTGCACAGGCTGAGAGACAAATTGTAGTAATCAAGGTAACAGACAGTGACACATTAAATACCGCCTTGCACACTTGCCTGCATCTAGCTGATCTAGGTGTAATCATTAGTCCAAACAGTTGCAAACAAGAGTTTCTATTGGACAAATTCAGGTAGGTTTATTTGCTTCCGTTTAAGAAAAGTGTTTCAACAGAGTCGGAGGAATGAATACACCCATGATCACCCGCACACAAGGTTCACTTTCATAGCAGCCACATACAAACATAATTCCTTCTCACATCTACGCGCTCTCCTCCTCTCACCTATTCCCTTCGCTTGTGGTCTTCTGACAGAATGTAGCCTAATGAAAGAATGTCGCAAATGCACTTACCCAGATGATCAAGATGAAATAACAATAGCTGTTTTGTGGCTTAGCTAGGCTTTGGCTCGCGGCTACGGGAATCACTCACGCACGTTCTTAATCTTTTTTAATCCGTTTTTTGTCTTTCAATGTCCTTTTCTGGTTTGTTCGTTCTATATTTGTCCTTATTTCTTTGTCCATTCCTTCCTCCCCTCCCGCGTCTCCCACTGTTCTCTTTTTTTCCCCTGTGTGTAATTATCCCCGTGCCTACACCTGCGCCGTAAATAAGGGGTGTGATCGGGGATTTCTGTGACGTCGACAGGGATTCCCTGAGTGCCCCTGCCCCTCTGACTTCCATTGACCTCCACACCTCTGGATGGTTCACAGTAGGCTAATATAACTGATATCTGAGTATTTACCCATTTGTAAATCATTCTGCAACCCTCCTTCCTGAGAAAAAAAATAGACGATACAAACGTATCTCAGTGATGTTTGGACAGGACGATGTGTCATTCCAGACATCGCCCAACCCTAGTGCACTGTGTTTTGGTAGTACAGTGCCCTACACAATGCCGTGGTGGAATCGGGTGAAAGATGTAAATGAATCCTCTTTCACGGTCTGCAGCATCTTATACACACAGCTAGGAGCAATTATTAGTGTCTGCAAACATGACTGACCTAACTAGCCAATAGGCGGACATCCTCAGCGATGTTTACATTAACAGTCAGTTTTATTGCAGATTGACGCAGTCTCTATAAAAGCCATTTTGCAGCAACAAAACTATTTTTGCATAAATTCTTAATACCCTTTATTTATTTTTTATGGTCAACATGCGTGATAAAGGCAGAGGCAATTATTGACAAAGTGATTATACTATATGGATATGTTTATGACGTAAATATTTACTTACTTTGTAGAGCGGTTTGGATCTCAATGTTGCATCAGGATGTCAAATGTCTAAGTGAGTATGATGACTTACATAGAAGTTCAATGTTTTTTGTGTGCATATGACTTGATTTGTTCAAATGTCTAGAAACTAAGTGTTTTACCATGGGTGGAGAAATGGATTGAGTCAATGGCTGTTTCCATTAACTTGTCCAGTGATTCTGTCAACATGTAGCAAGTTCGCATAGAAAATAATGCGACATTTGCCTGCTACGGTGCGTTTCCAATTAACTATCTTGTGTCGATTTTAAAAACAGCTGGACGTAATACCGTCACACATTTAAAAAAATAAGTGGTTGAAGTCATTCCATTAACCATTTTAGGTAAATTGTGCGTTAATAAATTGGTGACTGCCTTTATGCCCTCCCACCTTCTGTTTCGGGTAGCCTTCAAAAGCTAGCATGTATATACAGAGTTTCCCAAACTAGGGGTCGCCTGATTTGAAAATGGGGTCACGAGAGAAACTCTGAAATAAAATCACGGTTCATAGAACTGGGGTTACAGTGAGGGGAAAAAAGTATTTGATCCCTTGCTGATTTTGTACGTTTGCCCACTGACAAAGAAATGATCAGTCTATAATTTTAATGGTATGTTTATTTGAACAGTGAGAGACAGAATAACAACAACAAAATCCAGAAAAACGCATGTCAAAAATGTTATAAATTGATTTGCATTTTAATGAGGGAAATAAGTATTTGACCCCCTCTCAATCAGAAAGATTTCTGGCTCCCAGGTGTCTTTTATACAGGTAACGAGCTGAGATTAGGAGCACACTCTTAAAGGGAGTGCTCCTAATCTCAGTTTGTTACCTGTATAAAAGACACCTGTCCACAGAAGCAATCAATCAGATTCCAAACTCTCCACCATGGCCAAGACCAAAGAGCTCTCCAAGGATGTCAGGGACAAGATTGTAGACCTACACAAGGCTGGAATGGGCTACAATACCATCGCCAATCAGCTTGGTGAGAAGGTGACAACAGTTGGTGCGATTATTCGCAAATGGAAGAAACACAAAAGACCTGTCAATCTCCCTCGGCCTGGGGCTCCATGCAAGATCTCACCTCGTGGAGTTGCAATGATCATGAGAACGGTGAGGAATCAGCCCAGAACTACACGGGAGGATATTGTCAATGATCTCAAGGCAGCTGGGACCATAGTCACCAAGAAAACAATTGGTAACACACTACGCCGTGAAGGACTGAAATCCTGCAGCGCCCGCAAGGTCCCCCTGCTCAAGAAAGCACATATACATGCCCGTCTGAAGTTTGCCAATGAACATCTGAATGATTCAGAGGAGAACTGGGTGAAAGTGTTGTGGTCAGATGAGACCAAAATGGAGCTCTTTGGCATCAACTCAACTCGCTGTGTTTGGAGGAGGAGGAATGCTGCCTATGACCCCAAGAACACCATCCCCAATGGAGGTGGAAACATGATGCTTTGGGGGTGTTTTTCTGCTAAGGGGACAGGACAACTTCACAGCATCAAAGGGACGATGGACGGGGCCATGTACCGTCAAATCTTGGGTGAGAACCTCTTTCCCTCAGCCAGGGCATTGAAAATGGGTCGTGGATGGGTATTCCAGCATGACAATGACCCAAAACACATGGCCAAGGCAACAAAGGAGTGGCTCAAGAAGAAGCACATTAAGGTCCTGGAGTGGCCTAGCCAGTCTCCAGACCTTAATCCCATAGCAAGTCTGTGGAGGGAGCTGAAGGTTCGAGTTGCCAAACGTCAACCTCGAAACCTTAATGACTTGGAGAAGATCTGCAAAGAGGAGTGGGACAAAATCCCTCCTGAGATGTGTGCAAACCTGGTGGCCAACTACAAGAAGCGTCTGACCTCTGTGATTGCCAACAAGGGTTTTGCCACCAAGTACTAAGTCATGTTTTGCAGAGGGGTCAAATACTTATTTCCCTCGTTAAAATGCAAATCAATGTATAACATTTTTGACATGCTTTTTTTCTGGATTTTTTGTTGTTGTTATTCTGTCTCTCACTGTTCAAATAAACATACCATTCAAATTATAGACTGATAATTTCTTTGTCAGTGGGCAAACGTACAAAATCAGCAGGGGATCAAATACTTTTTTCCCTCACTGTTCATCAGTAACCAGTTGTAATAAACCATTTAAGCTACAAAATATTATGACCCCATCACTGAAAGGTATGACTTTGTTTCCCTCTACAATGCCCACAAGCCGCGCAGGACTCAGTAGAACAGAGTGGACAATACCAGGCACTAAATATGACTGGGAAGAAAAGAACACCACCAATGACAATATTTTCTACAGAAAATATCATACAAATTATTTCTTGATCTTCTGAACTTTCCAATACCTTTCTAATGCATTTCAGTCACTTCAAACCATTTGTAATAGACTGTCATAGTCCCAATGAACATTGGCCGTTGATTATATCGCTTTATTTACATTGTGGAGTTGTGACATATTTTTTATATGAAAAAGGGGTCGCGGGCCAAAAAAGTTATGGAACCCCTGTTCATATAATTCTCATGTGCCAACGAATTGCCACTGTGAAACTTGCACTCCTGTAGATCTGAAATAATTGGATGGTGAAACTTGCATCCAGCCAACCAGAAAAGCAAGGTGAAGCAATTCAGCCATTCTTGAAAGTCAAGACAATCCTTGTCCTGCAAATAAACTTTATTTTCATAGTTGAAAAATAGATTTAGCAAGCAATAGGCATTTAGAATTAAATGTGGAGTGGAGCTTTATAGTTGGGTGTTGACATCACGTGCCCCGCTTACCTTCAAAATTATTCGGCAGTCATTTATTCAGAAAAACATAATTTCCATCATTTGCTGCAATAAAGTTAAACAAAAGAAGAATCCACCCCTGTCGAACGGATACGAATGTTGTCGATCTTTAGAACATTTCTCCTACATCTGCCGTTTCTATTACACGTTACAATGTTGTTTTTTTGCGACATTGCTTTTGTCAAATAAACCTGGGTCAATGGAAACCTGCCTAGTGAGAGCAGTGATCATGGATGGTGTTGGCCAGGTTGATCTCTTTTGTGAGGAAAAAGCATGGAGGAAAAATAGATTAAGGGAAATGGATGGAGTTAACATTTCAGTCTAGGGGAATGCTTGTCTAACTACGTTCAACCTCTTCATATCCCCAACTGTAGTTTAAGGTAGGGGTACTAGTCAGGGAATTATTTGGTTAAGATTCATTCATAAGTATGCATAAAAACAAGCTGGCAGTGCCTTAGTTTGCATGAATAATACCATCGCACCTAATTGTACTTTGTTAAACATACCTGTATTTTGTACAATAGTCTTGTTTTTCCTCTGTTCATGTTTTATTTTTTGTTTCCGTCCATTTTAGGCACAAGGACACGAAAAACAATGAGACTCCATCCTCTTCCACACAAGCTTTAGATGTAAATACTGCTGGCAAGACTGAACATGATTTCAACCAATCAGGTATGGAGGCGGATGAAGAGGTTGGTGGTGGAAAGTCCCCTGGAAGCCCGACCTCTGTGAAGCGATGGGTGATTGGCCCATTGTTTCAGTCGTTTAAATCCAAGATGGCCAGTTTCACACAGATTGTCATGAGTCCCGTCCGACTTTTCAAACCCAGTGGCTCCCCACCTGAACCAGATGTAGACATCTCCTCTGCCTCTCATAGCTCTCACCAACAAGGACCTGGGTACGGGCTAACCTCTGGCACAGTGCAACACTTTGACGCTGGAACAGGACATGATGACCCTGCCTCTCGTACACGCTTAAAGTTCAGCATGGATGAAGAAGAGGAGGATGAGTTTTCTCTTGAGGTGAAACAAAATATGATGCGACCTGGAGATGAGCAAAGTGACACCCTTATGTCAACCAGCTCAGAAAGGGAAATGAATAACAATGATTCTTTACCTTGTATGCAGCGTAGTCCCCTACTCAGAAGCAGTATCAAGTGTGGTTCTGAATCAACGGAGTCCCAGCTCAACTTGTCCTCTTCCACATCCTTAAAACCCCCTGACTCTTCAAGTGCCACATGTGGGTCCAAGCTGTCTCTCATTGTTCAAATGGAGGAGCAGGTGGATTTGACAGGAGCTCAGCGGAGACCATTGCGCCGAAAATGTGTTTGTCAAAATGAAGCTGCATCACAGAGCAGTCCCTCTGCTGCAACTGAAGCATCTCAAGCAGACCGCATCTCTAGTTTGCCAGCTGAAGTAGGAATCTGTGAGCCCAAGGCTAAACGGCTTGCCACAAAATCTTATGTAGGGTGCAAAATCTGGGACTATATTGACAGTGAAACATCTAGTCCATTATCCTCCTCTATCTACTATACCCCTTCTGAGAGTCTATGCCAGGCAGATGATGACTGTATAAAAGCTGTTGGGCTGCCTCAAGACCGAAACATGTTGGTATGTGGTTCCCAGTCACATATGTCTATCCGGAAAAGCCCCAGAAAACCTTCAAATGTTACTGGAAACGAAACACTGAACAACTGTCAGTGTCTTCAAAAGCAGATAGATGAGTGTGAAGGAAAGCAAGGCTATATGGCAGGCACAGCAAAGGAAGGTAAGAGGAGATGCAGAGCAACTCCTTTTACAGCGATCAAGAGAGACGCAGAGAAAAGGAAAAGAGTGAAACTGACGAAAGGGGAGAGATGTGAAGAGGTTACAAAAAAAGAAGACATGGTAGATGTTGAGTTAGAAAGTTGCACATTAACATCGGTAGAGCACACGAGTGATGTAGAACTTGTCCAGCCGGGGGTTGGAACAAAACTGTGTACAACTTCTAAATCTCAGTCTCTTAAAAGTAGGGTGCTGCCTCGGGTTAGCCAGAGTTCTACCATACACATTGAAACCACTCAGAAACCCTCTGATACACATGTACCTCTGATGGAGGTGATGAAGGACAAAGGTAGCAGACGAAGTGGGCGTGTTAAGAAAAATACATATTTCACAGTAATGGCCACTTCAAGTAATGGGAGTGTACTAGAGCACAGTAATGGCAGTTTGTGTGACAACAGCATAGCAGCCAGCAATAGTAGGGGTATGACCAGTGCCTTGAGTTATGGTGACACTGACTCTAGTTCAGCATGTAATTTGGAAATGGAAACTACCATGACAACCACTTTGATGAAAGAAAATCATGAACTGCCTGTCTCTGAGCAGCACTTAGATATCAAGGGGAAGTGGCCTCAAACGGCATCCAAAAATCAGCAAAAACACATCTGTAAGAAGAGGAAGTCATCTCAAAATCAACAAAAGTGTCCAAAGTTGAATGAGATCGCTTCAGAAGAGAGTTGTCCACTAAAACCACCGAAACAAAAGAAATCCAGTAGGTCTTATAACTCGAGCTCAACCCAACAGCTTGGCACGTCTTTAGGGCTAACTGATGTTGGTGCTGATCACTTGCACTCATTGAAGCCCAGCAAAGATGACAATGACCATGTAGATTCCAGATCTTCAAACGTTACACAACAGACATTACAGACTACCGCAGTCGTGGCTGTCCACAAAGACGCAAGTTGGGGAGCAGAAAGGAGTGGGTCTGACTCTTGCAAGAGCCCAAAGAAGAATCTGAATGGATCTAATAAAACCTCTGCTAGTGATGCATTACTGGTGGATAAGAGGTTTGTGGAACCCCTTGGTGGACATAAGCGAGTCAGGCGAGGTCCGTCCACAGAGGACAATGACAAGACAACTCAGTCCCTGCAACTTAATCAAATAACAGTTGAAGATAAGAAGAGAACTGTGCCTTGGCCTGTGCGAACTTATCCCAAATGTTCAATAAAGCTGAACAAAAATATAGTCAAACATTCTATGGCTATTCAAGGAAATGATGTGGCAAGGGACTCTGATGTAGAAGAGGTATTTTCCACTGCCTCTGAACCAACTAACCTTGGCCAGAACAAGACTGTTGACAAGGTGATGGAGGAGGAGCAGGGGAAGGAAGATGAGTGTTCTGAACTGCGTGTACCCTCTGAGACAAGGCTAAGGGGGAGGGGGCAAAGAAAGATGCCAAAGAAAGCAGAGAATCAAAGTAGGAAGCGCAGGCCTGTGGTTAGGAAGAGGGGGCAGGATGAAGAGGAGAGAAATGCCGTGATTAGTGAGCAGATGGACTTTTCATCAGATAACAACAAGACACTTACCAAGCGTCTGTTGCGGAGCTACTCCTGCCCAGAGATCCCTACTCTCCTCCACCATGACAGCCACTGGACCACCTCTCTGCACGGCAGGATCCTCGCCGTACCTCGGCTCCACCCCGCCCTCTTTCCTCCTGTCCCCCCTCCTCCCGCACCATCCAGACGTCCACGGCGTCATACTGTCTCTAGTGTGGAAATTGAGCGGGAGATAGCTCCGTTATGCCTGCGTAAGGAGGTGTTCCCCTCAAGAAGGTCCTACTCATTGGGCACCCCATCCTACCACCTGTTCCCCAGTGCGCCACTCTCCACTTCCATCTCTGCCTGGGCCTCCTGCTTCCTGTCAAGCCCCCTGGCCTTCCTCTCCAGGAAATTGCAAAAAGGAAGTCTAGCTGCCAGTAGTAGTGCTTGCAGTCATGATACCTCTTCCCCCTCCAGTGTTTTCTCTTCCATTTCACCATCCTGCTCTTCCTTACGGCACCTGTTCTCCAGTTCTGATCCCTGTGACCTGACCTCAGACACATCCTCTGCTTCAGTCTCCTCCCTTTGCAGGTAAAACACCACTTTGTCCTTTGTTCAAAAATACACATTTTCCTTTTTGATTATAGGAGTTAAAAATGATTAATGATTTGATTCCACCCTGTTTCCAGTGCATTTTCAAAGATTCCCTTGGAGAGTGAGACAAGCCAGCAACGTGAGGAGGATGGAGAGAATGTGGAGGACAGCAACCGTTTCAGGACTGAGTTCGAAGCCATAGGGATGAGAGAGGAAAAAGCATTGTCAGATTCTGAAATTAAGGTACACTCTCACCACATAATATTTAATGTGAACTATGTAATTTGCATATGACATACAGTATGTAATTAGTTTATGAAGATGAGTAGATAAGTGAGTGACTTTAACCCACCTTCACCATGGTAACACTGTGGTGGTGTTTGCACAGTTGGAAACCGGCAAGCATGAGGAACGAAGGAAAGTATCATCCATTCGAATTCGTAAAGCCTTACCCAAACCCCTCCACAACCTCACACCCATGGGCCTGCCCAAGCCTATCAGGTATGTGTATTTGTCTGTTCCTGAGTATTTGAAGTATCTCTTAGTGGTGTGAAGGTGTGCCTGTGTTTATATCGTACATTTGATACCTGTATTCGTAAATGTGATGACATGGATTACAAAAAACCCAACTGATGGTGATCTGTTATGTGTTACAACAGGGTGAAGAAGAAGGAGTTCAGTTTGGAAGAAATCTACACTAATAAAAACTTCACCAAGCCCCCTGAAAGGTTACTGTTCACTCATGCATCTCATTGTTCATCCTGCAGTATATGTAATCGTCATTGTACTGACTGACTGTAACATTCACTTTCCTTTCATTAACAACTTCCTTGCTCTGTGTTTGTTTGTTTTTCTTTCGTCCCAGACGGCTGGAGACCATATTTGAGGTGCCACTCAGTCGACGCGATGGGTCTCAGTCTCTCCTTGGCCAGAAGCGCATGAAGCGTTTTGTGGAGTTCCCAGAGGTTGGCGTGGCCAGAAAGCCAAAAAAGCCACTTGTTGGTGCTGGGGCAGGGGGTGGTTTACCCAGGAAAGCTGGGGTTGGCACTCCTTTCGGAAGGCCCAAGCGCGGGGGTTGCCCCTCTTCTAAAGATCACCCCACCCTCAATCTGCAGGAGCTTGATTCACTTCTTTGCTCCAAGCTTGACCAACTGGATTCCTGGTTAGCTTTTGACCAGGAGATCTGTTGAAAAATGCCAATCAAAGGGGTAGACAAAAGCACATTTACATTTTCGAAAATATTCTCATTACAATTTGCCCAGCCCTGTTGCCTTCCACCCAACATCAAGCTTGTCCTCATCTTCTGTAATTGTTTACAACATTTTTATTTTGTGGGTGTGTGTTATTTACCGTCCATTGAGTTGTTTAAAATTATCATTGAAGAATTTTTGTATTTTCATTGTGTACTATTTGTAGATAACGATATGGAATATACTGTTATTGTAATATTTGAATATCTATGGATGTAATGCATTTTTTATAATTGGTTGAGGTCAGTGAGTGTGCATAAGTGTTTGTGTATTTAAAACTGCTACTATTTCTGCACTCAGTTTTGTTGATAATCTGCATTCTTAATATGCCAGTGCCTCAGCCTTTTAATCATTATTAAACCTTTTCTGCTTTATTAATCACTTGCTACTGAATCCTAACTTTGGAAGCCCACATGCAACTCAAATCTTTGTGGATATTATCCATTGACATCAATGTATTTTTACACAGCAGTTATTGTATGCACATACATCTCAAGTAAGGATTCTTACTAGCCATACAATTTCCAGATGTTAATTCCCAATTGAGCTATAGGTGCATACCTGTTATTGGCAACTAGCTTCAGTGAATGTAGCTTTCAAATGGCAGCTACTTTCAGGAAATATTGAATGTTGAGAATTCCGTTTTTGGCCAAATTACAGCTGTAAGAAAATCTTTTTTTTTTGATAACTGTCCTTTAATTGTTGCCTGACAATATTCCTGCCAATTTTTGCCTTGTATACACATTACATTGTATTTTCTTAATCTCCGGGTCATAACTATAGCAAATAAAATTGACATTTTCCATTCATACATTTTTGTAAAAATTCTAAGTCGAGTTGTTACTTGTTAATTGGACATGACACTCTATTTCTATTGAAACATTAGCATGAATCTTTTCATCAATGCAATTTGTAATGTTTAGTATCATTGTGAATTGTAATATTTATGTTTTGATAGCAAAATGTAATTGAAAATTGCTAGTTCTATTCACAGTTTTTGTTCTATAATTATTTTTCTGAACATATTTGTCTTTACTGTGTGTTTTGCTATTGAATAAATGTATTTGTATGCATTTCTTGTTACAGCTAGAGAGTGACTTTATATTAAGTAAAAGGTATTTGTAGCTATATTAACTTAATGTAAATGAAGCAAATAGCCTGAAAAGAAACTTAATTCAGAGCAAATTGATGTAAATGTATTTTCATTTTATTACAAAATCCTTTAATTAAAACATGCAATGTATAAATATAAAATACAATAAAGTAATGCAATAACATGGTAATGTAATCACAATGAACTTTTGTACCTTTTTGGTATTTAAAACCAAAGGCAGTTTTCACTATTACTGTAAATCAAAAAGACTGCCCTGATTTAATTATACCTAGTTCACAATTTGTCCTTTATAATTAGACATTCATAGTTAGCTCCTCACATATACAAATAATAATTTATTTGACAGCTAAGTAAAAATATAACATTGTTAAAAAACAAAGTTTGTGTTGCATATCATAAATGGTAAAAGTAACATGTCAAAGTTGAGACAGATAGTGGACATGGTAGTGTTTTGGAGTCAGGCCCATGTATAGTGCCTCCCAGATTGTTTTGCATTTATACTGGATTTTTTAAAATCTCTGCTGTTTTATGCTCATACAGTCTTGGATTCATGTCAGCAAATAGACCTTGTCCATTAAATGCTATATCAAAAACAACTGGTTATTTTGTGTCCCCTTGCTCATCTCTCGTCTCCTAACCGACCTCTTATTCAGGAAAGAGGTAGTTTGGTTATAGTCCTTACTCGATCATAGTCTGCTGCTGGAAAAACGTATGTGTTATGGCTTTACACCCCCTGCTATAATGTGGATAAAGAGTTACTTGTCTAACAGAACACAGAGGGTGTTCTTTAATGGAAGCCTCTCAAACATAATCCAGGTAGAATCAGGAATTCCCCAGGGTAGCTGTTTAGGCCCCTTTTTTAAATCTTTACTAACGACATGCTTTGAATAAAACCAGTGTGTCTATGTATGCAGATGACTCCTCACTATATATGTCAGCTACTACAGCAACTGAAATGACTGCAACACTTAACAAAGAGCTGCAGTTAGTTTCGGAATGAGTAGCAAGGAATAAGTTAGCCCAAATATTTCCAAAACTAAAAGCATTGTATTTGGGACAAATCATTCACTAAACCCTAAACCTCAACTACATCTCGTAATGAATAATGTGGAAATTGAGCAAGTTGAGGTGACTAAACTGCTTGGAGTAACCCTGGACTGTAAACTGTCATGGTCAAAACATATTGATACAACAGTAGCTAAAATGGGGAGAAGTCTGTTTAAACGACTAGCACACAGCTCAGACACCCATGCATATCCCACAAGACATGCCTCCAGAGGTCTCTTCACAGTCCCCAAGTCCAGAATAGACTATTGGAGGCGCACAGTACTACATAGAGCCATGACTACATGGAACTCTATTCCACATCAGGTAACTGATGCAAGCAGTAGAATCAGATTTTAAAAAAACAGATACACCTTATGGAACAGCGGGGACTGTGAAGCAGCACAAACATAGGCACAGACACATGCACACACACGTGTACACATGGATTTTGTGTTGTAGACGTGGTAGTGGAGTAGGGGCCTGAGTTCACACACTTAGTGTGTTGTGAAATCTGTTATGAATGTATTGTAATGTTTTAAAATGTGTATAACTTCCTTAATTTTGCCGGACCCCAGGAAGAGTAGCTGCTGCCTAATGAGGATCCATAATAAATACAAATACAAATACTCTTAGGTGCAAAAGACTGGTTGGGCTACTGATAAATGTGAAAATATCTTAATATTCATGACGTATTTATAGCTGTGGTATCACTTCAATGTTAAGTGATACCACAGCTACCACCAGGGCGGCAGGTAGCTTAGTGGGTAAGAGCGTTGTGCCAGTAACCGAAAGGTCGCTGGTTCTAATCCCCAAGCCGACTAGGTGAAAAATCTGTCGATGTGCCCTTGAGCAAGGCACTTAACCCTAATTGCTCCTGTAAGTCGCTCTGGATAAGAGCGTCTGCTAAATAAATAAATAAAAAAATTAAATAAATAAATTCTGTCAGCGATAAATTCCAGGGTGACACAAAATAAAAAAAGGTGCCTTTGTAAATCCTTATCAGCAAGACATCCTTATCAGAGTGATACTCAGAAATGCTGTATACAGTGGAGTCTCCCTGAGTCACTGGAGGTGCTTTTCCATCTTTGCCCACCTCACAGTGTCACGGCAGTCCAAGATCAATACTAAAGAAGTTGGACCACTGTCCTGTATCCATCCTTATGATACAGTACATCCACCTTGGTGGTTCCTGGGAATTGGTCAGTCTATCAGAGTGAGTAGGTATGACACCAGAGCCAACAGTAGTGGGCTGAGTACCAGAATCGCCACCCACACGACAATAGAAATGATCCCAAACTTTCTTGCTCGTTGGGAATATTGTTTAGCCTTTTTTGGAGTCCTCTTCCTTGCCTCTCGAGCCTGTCATAGGGAAAGAAGAGTACATGATATTTTGATATGACTCATATTTGAGATATAGACAAGACGTTGTGTAGATTTGCACATTTTGAGAACCAAGATGGTTCCTAAAGGGGCAACACCTTTCATTACATTACAGAATGTTTACAAAAACAGGTTTTTAAAACAGAAGCTTGAAATTACCTTGACTGAGTTGACCAAAGCTAAAATGCCAATGCAGGAGAGTCCACAGATGATGCTGCTAATGGCCAGTTTCCTATAGTCCCTGTCCTTGGCACAGGAGGGAACAGTATGGTCACGACCACAGCAGGTGATCACTTGAAGGCAGGTGGTGTCATTTTGGGCATCTGTTGTTTCACCTATCCCTGGGACAGCAGTCAGTGGAACGTCTCCCATTGTTGCTGATTGGGCAGACATTTCTGAGGAGAAAGGAGATGCAACATAGAGTTCAGAGGATAGATCTATGGCAGAACAAGGGAATACAATTATTCAAGTCTGATAGTACTGTATTATTTGCAGTTGTGACATTGTCATAAAGGATGTAGGATATTAGTTTACCGAAACTAAATTAGTTTGCTTGTAATATTCTTTCACTGACATGCCAACAAAATGGTTTGAGATGCTCATTCTCTGCCAGGGTACTTTCCACAGACAGAAGATAGTAATGCACCATGGGATGAGGTATGCATTGCTATCTATCAAACAGGAGCCTGACGAACTGGAATGATTACACTGTGCAGTGTGCAAGTGAATATGTGCCAGAGTGCTAACATTATCATGGAGAAAGAAAACAGCAAGAGGGAAATGTTATGTTGATAATTCGAATTCCTTCATTGTTTATATTGTATGTCCAATTAGTATACCAAACATTACGAACACCTTCCTAATATTGAGTTGCACAGGGATGCTGGCCCATGTTGACTCAAATGCTTCCCACAGTTCTGTCAAGTTGTCTGGATGTCCTTTGGGTGGTGGACCATTCTTGATACACACGGGAAACTGTTGAGCGTGAAAAACCCAGCAGCGTAGCAGTTTTCGACACAAACCGGTGCGCCTGGCACCTACTACCATACCCCGTTTAAATCCTTTGTCTTTCCCATTCACCCTCTGAATAGCACAAATACACAATCCATGTCTCAACTGCCTCAATGCTTAAAAATCTTAATTTACACTGATTGAAGTGACATCAATAAAGGATCACCTGGATTCACCTGTTCAGTGTGTGTCATGGAAAGAACAGGTGTTCTTCATGTTTTTTATACTCAGTGTATATGACATTTAAGTGTGTTAGATGTCATTAGATACCATCAACATTATCTTACTGCTGTAATGTTAACGTGATAAACCTTTTTCCTGTCCCAGTTTCAGAACCTGACCTGGTGAATTCCAGTAACTTGATATGTTTTCTTACAGCGAAGATCATACCAATTAATTAAGAATAGTTATATTGTAATAGTCTCTCCCTTCAGTCTTTGGCAACAGAACATTATAAAGGGCTTTTCTTTAGCACTCCTCATCAACTGATCATAAAGGAGAAGTATTTTAGGGAAATAACTTGGTGTGTCTGTAATGTCCTGATTACTCAAAGCAATGAATCAGAGGTGCTAAGCACTT